TCTCTCTGCTGATCGCTTAACTTCCTTTTTTAAACTCAATTCTTCCTGTCGATCTACTACTCATACATTTACCCATCATCTCAGAGCTTCCTGCATCTCCTCTTGTGTCCCTCATTCGTCCTTCTATTCTATCTTAGTTTCCTCTCCATTGAAATCTTGTTGTTTTCACCCCTCCCCCCATGCTCTTTTGCTCCCTCTCCCTCTCTTCATTACATTACATTACATGTCATTTAGCTGACGCTTTTATCCAAAGCGACGTACAATAAGTGCATTCAACCATAGGGTACAAACTCAGGAGAACAAGAAACAAGAAAGTGCAATTTCCTCAAATAAGCGAATTTACAATTTGCTATAGATGAGTGACGTCACAAGTACAGTTTAAGTGCTACAATTTGTTAGTCTTTAGTCGAGGTAGAGTCTGAAGAGGTGTGTCTTTAGTTTGCGGCGGAAGATGTGAAGGCTCTCTGTGGTCCTGATGTCTTCAGAGAGCGCGTTCCACCATTTCGGCGCAAGGACAGCGAAGAGTCGAGACCTAGTCGAGTGTTTTGCTCTCAGTGGGGGAGGGACGAGTAGTTTTGCAGATGCAGAGCGGAGAGTGCGGGTTGGGATGTAGGGTTTGACCATGTCCTGGATGTAAGCTGGACCCGATCCATTCACAGCATGGTACGTGAGCACCAGTGTTTTGAACTGGATGCGGGCGGCCACCGGTAGCCAGTGAAGAGAGCGGAGGAGTGGAGTAGTGTGGGAGAATTTCGGAAGGTTGAAGACCAGTCGAGCTGCTGCATTCTGAATGAGCTGCAGAGGTCGAATGGCGGTGGCAGGGAGACCTGCCAGGAGGGAGTTGCAGTAGTCCAGGCGGGAGATGACAAGAGCCTGAATCAGTACCTGCGCTGCCTTCTGAGTGAGAAGGGGACGTATTCTCCTGATGTTGTAGAGCGTGTATCTACAGGATCGCGTTGTCGCAGTGATGTTGGGAGTCAGGGAGAGTTGGTTGTCGAGTGTGACGCCGAGGTTCTTAGCAGTCGAAGTGGGCGTTAGCACAGAGTTTCCAAAGTTGACTGTCAGGTCCTGGGTAAGCGAGTCTTTTCCGGGAAAGAGAAGTAGTTCAGTCTTGTCGGGGTTGATTTTCAGATGGTGGGCGGACATCCACTGAGAGATGTCAGTTAGACAGGCAGAGATCCGAGCCGCCACCTGGGTGTCCGAGTGAGGGAAGGAGAGAATTAGTTGGGTGTCATCGGCATAGCTGTGGTAAGAGAAGCCATGCGAGCGAATGACAGCTCTTCACCCTTGTGGCTTAGTGAGCTCTTGGTTAATCCTCGCTCTTGGTTCCCTGACGCCAACCCAAAAGCCATTCAGACCGGCTGTCAGACGTTATTGAGTTTTAAGGGCTTGTCATCGCGAGAGGAACCTCGACTCGGAACACCGGCTTGGCATGCGCACGGACGCAGGCTTATGCAGATGTGTCTCTGTGGCGACACACTCGTGCACGCGAAAGCCTTCGTGCCTTCGTGCCTTCGTGCGCTGTTATGACTCAAACGTTGGCTGTGTATTTTTAGCGTACACACCTAGGCGCTCTAGAAGAAATGCAAGGAGGGCGAGTTGCCCTTGTGCCCACTGAAGCTTTAGTTGATAAATGACAGTCAAACTGAATTTCTGAAAAATCCCACCCAACTCAGAGAGGAAATATTAGTTTAAATCGTGGGGGAGGAGAGCTTGTCCCATAATCCAGAAAACAATTTAAAACCCTCTTTTGCCATTTTTAAATATATATTCCCAGACATTATAAATAGGAAATCCTCAAATGTGACTTTTTTTTTTTTTTTTTGCTGACACAAGCTTTCTTTATTATAAATAGTGTATTAAGCTTGAAAGAAAGTGCAGACAGGCAAGAGGAAAATATTAACATGTAAATGGAGGTGTGTTGTGTCCTTCGAAGGACTACTCCAATTCCAGGGAGGCCCCACGTGGGGAGATGGCTCATTACACCTCAATATTCTGTAGTGGTGCATGTGCACTGGCTCTCCAATAAAAACGGAGTAGGAGGATAATGACCTGCCTCAGCACACACCAACTGTGCCGGAAAGTGGAAATGTGCCGGCGTCAAGAGGATAAAGAATTCTCAGTTATTGATGCTGATAGCGGTGAAATGCGCTGGCATCGACTTCTCCTGCGGATCTGCTTATTGGATTATGTGCGTCAACACATTGATAAGCATCATATTAAGTTTGGTGGAGCTGCCAGGATTCATTTTGTATCCTGAGTCTGCCTCTACATACACCCAGTGTTGGGCTTTCGCAGCACAATTGATGTTCTGAAATTGTAGTTGCTGTGAAGGCCAATAGTAACTTTATTAAAGCAAGCTGGCAGGGAGGCCCACGCTACCGGCTCTGTGAGGCCGTTCACGTTAGCAGCTGGCATGATGCTTTGCAGGCTCCATCTTTACCACGTTCGATCTCTTTTTAGCCGTGCATGAAAATTGGTCATTAGTGCCATGCCTGGAGTGTTGCAGACAGATATGCATATCATTTAGTGGCAATTTAAATAGCATTTTACTTTGAGTGCAGCTGTCATACGTACATATGTGGCTAACTGTCTGTTTTACGGCTGTCAGACTTTTGCCTTTCCAGCTGCAGGGCGTGTAGTCCTGCACTCAGGCCAATTTTCTGCTCCCCGTTGTAAAACACAGCAGCATGCGGAAGTGTCCTAACACGCTGCCAAGGTCACACACAGTCGCACACATTGCTGTATCATCTCACACATCCTCTCTGTCTGTTGCTTATCTTTCCTCGGGTTTCTTCAGGTTCCGGCCAAAGACGGCTCTTGTCATTGAACATGAGGAGTATTCATCCTATCTAAGAGGGAATGTAATGTAAAAGCTAAGCTTGACTCCGGGTGACATTCACATTTCAGCATGCTGTACCACCTCTTTTTTTCCTCCTGCTCTAAACCCGGGATACTTTTTCATTCTCCTTTAGTGCATCAATGTGTAGCAAATGAACTGAACATGGCCTGACAATCTGGAGACAGCGGGCAGGTTTCTTTATGTTGTGGGTGAATACTTTCCATCAGTCTCTTTGTTTCTCTTTCTGCCTCTCTATTCTTATTTCCCATGGAGCACGAACCCTTTTATTTACCTTTTCCCTTCAACGCTCTCCGGTCCATACTTTGTCTTCTCTGTTCGTCTGACTGTCCGTTTTTCGGCGGAATTCCCTCTTCTGTTTGTTATCAATCTCCATCACTGCTCTGTCTCCGCTCTGCTTGCGGCCTCTTTTGGACCCACCATCGTCTGTCCTCACTGTCTCCTTGACCTCTCTTCTCCTCCGGCTCTCTCAAGTGACTTAGCACCACGCCAAAGTGTTTGTAGAGAGCGCACAGTCTCTCACGGACTGAGAGAGGCCATTAGAGAGTGTGCTTAATGGTGGCATCGCGTCCTGGACGTCCCAGGCAGTGCTGCTGTTAGCATTCATCAGCGGTGTGTACGTGCATTGATCATGAGTGTGTGTGTGTGTGTGTGTGTGTGTGTACGTCTCCTATTGCTGAGGGTTTGTGCTTAAATATCGAATTAAATGCACAACATTATGTATAAGTATATATGTGATGGTGTATAAATGGATTTCTATCTCAATGTGTGTGTGTGTGTGTGTGTGTGTGTGTGTGTGTGTGTGTGTGCGTGCAGACAAGCGTTAATAATGCAGGGCGGTTGATCGCACTCAATGATTGATGACCGGGTCATGGATGGAGCTCACTCAGGGAAAAGAATTAAAACCAGCCCAGACAGCATCATGATGGATCAATGAGCCCAAGAGGTGCTCAGAACCAGCGCACTGCCTCTTCATTTATTCGCTGTGTTTGGTGGCTCTTTATCACGTGGTAGTTAAACACGTGCCACAGCGCCATCAGCATGAAAAACATGTGACTAAAAACACAAACATCTTGACCGATCTCCCCAAGACTGATTTCACATTTCCAACAGTAGTGAAACATTTGACAGAAGCCGCCATTACTCATTGACATAAATCAGACTACGCGCCGGACCGACGGATGTGAAGTGACATAACGCTATATTGATCTCCGCCATTGTCCTCGTTCACCCGATTCAAAGAGGTCAGGGCCCTGAAATAGGCAGTAACTGATTTTGATCAGGGACGCTGCGGCCGGCTGCTTGTGGTGAAACTCGTGGTGAAACTTGTGGGCGCGCAGCAAGGCAAATGACTTGATTGATTGACGTCATCCAGCTAAAAGGTGTGACATCCCCGTCGCGAAATATTGACTCGCCGCGGACAGCGTGGCTTTAGTTCCTCCGATTTGAATAATGGCGTCCGCAATCCGCTCGGCTGCGAGCAGGCGTGTCGATGGGCGAGTAAACGGACCAGATGCAAAGACACTTTGCATAACCTCGTAACCCCCTTTGTACGTCACCGGCAGCCTTGAGCTTTGAGTCTGCTCGTGCACACTCTCTCTCCCCCCTCCCTCCCGCCTTCAGAGAGCGGCGGCAGCTCTTGGCCGGGAGGAGATGTGAAGTGACGGCGGACTCTTGCTGCGCGGGCGGAGAGGCTCCTGCGAGGACCACTGCTTGTAGGCGGAGAAGTGTCCTCCATCGCCACGTTTAACTCCTCTGAGCTGCAGTTATCAATGTGATGATTTCACATGCTTTTAGCTGAGGCTTTTTCAAAAAAATAAGAGCCTTTAATTACCACCATTTTGTTAAAGGCTGTATTTACTTTTGTCCGTTCAAGACCTGTGTGTGAAGTAGAGAGCAATGATCACTGTTATCACCAAAGAATAGATCATTGTCATATTTGTAGGTGCAACATGTCCTCTATAAAACCTTGTCAAACACAGAGGCTCATGCGGTTGAACTATGGAACCATCTCATCCCAACTTATTTGACAACTATTTGATAAGAGAAGATAAGCGGATCCTTTATTAGTCCCAGTGGGGACATTTTGCGGTCAACCTTGTGTGCCAATGCTCTTGAACTCCTTGGGCTCCCTCTCCAGGTGTTCAACACCCACTCCAACGAGGACTATGACCGGCGTAACGAAGAGGTGGATCCTGTTGCCTCCTCCGCAGAGTACGAGCTGGAGAAGAGGGTGGAGAAACTGGAGCTCTTCCCAGTGGAGTTGGAGAAAGGTAGGAAAGAGAATGGTACAACGCGGAGGTGGATGCTGTCAGATACTCACTGCACCCAGTAGACCGAATCACCCACATAGGACGGCACTTATGTTTCATCAAAGGAGTGACTATTTTTGTCTTTCTATCTGGGTTGTTTCCTGGTTATTTGCTTCATTATTTCTTCATCCGAATCAAGGTTTTGAGTTTGTTCAAACCATTAACATTTATGCTTTGTCTTTGAAAAGCCCTAGAAATATATTTTACTGCTTTTCCTCAGCATTATGATCCAATACAGAAGTTTGGATTGGAAGAAACTTAATTAAAGCACGTTCGAATAAATTGTAGTGCACAACTTCCGTTCGCTCCCCAGCACGAGCGTCTTCACTTGTCTTCTTCCAGCGGAGGGTTTGCTGTGTTGAAATTCAATGTTGCCAAAGGACTGAAATACAATTGCTTTGCATTGGCTGTTATGCAACCCAAACAAGTCATGAATGATTAATGGAGAACGGAGACGGATGAAAGCTTCACTGTTAGGGAATTTCTCATCTAGCACATTTCCTATTCATGTGGACTTGCCTATACTAAACGGCCTTCCCCTATTCTCCATTCATAAATCATCTGTTCTTCTTTTGATTGAATTCATCCAACCGTTTTTTTTTTTTCCGTGTTTCCCTCAGTCCACTTGACATTTTGGGTTTCCAGCATAATGGAAAAATTGGAACGTTTAAGCCGTAACACAGTTTTTGAGACTCACTTCGACCCTTTGGTGTGTTTGCCCCCAGATGAAGACGGCCTCGGGATCAGTATAATCGGGATGGGCGTCGGCGCCGACGCAGGCCTGGAGAAACTGGGCATCTTTGTGAAGACCGTCATCGAGGGCGGAGCCGCTGAAAAAGACGCCAGGTGAGATCTGCCTCCCTTTTGGATGACACACGTGTTACTGAGTTTGGGGACGAGCATGTTGATTTGATCCTTTTTCTAGTTCCTTTAAATTGTGTGAAAGTTTTAATGTCAGTTCTCCTTTCATTTGAGTTTCTTTAATACTGTTTTTCTTAAGTACCTAATAATCTATTCGATTGGTTTGCTGCTTTGGTCCAGACTGACATGAAATTTGGCACAATAACATAAATCCATGGGTGTCCTGATGGTTAAAACGATGTGATATAGTTGCAACGTCTTGGTTTCAGAGACCGTTGTTGCATGCATGCTCCTCTCTCTCCACCCACATTTTTCTGTTTGGATCTTCTGCTGTCACCTATCCAAAAATGCTATGAAATGTTTATTAATAGAAGGTTTTTTTTAAACAATAACGTATATATTTAGATCACAGCAGACATTTGCATTGAGTAGTGGGCGTATGAACACATTTGCGTCGTGCATTCAGAAACGGAACCGTCCTGTATCAGGAATCTTCAGCTTCGCCTCTCTGCATAATGGATCTCACAATGAACCTTCATCTCAGTATCAGATAAATAAACTCAAGACTTGAGATATTAGTAATAATGACTAGATTGCTTGTGCACATCCATTTGCTCTCTAATTGCTATCACTCACAGAGACACACACACACACACACACACACATACACACACAAACACTGACACACTCAAGGGAGGACTCACTACCCAGAATGTAATTTCCTGCCATCATTACCCTTTCCAGCTACAGGGCTCCTTGTTGCCGAGTCAGACCTAATGGTCTGACGCACGCACACACACACACAAACATACACACACACACACACACACACACACACACACACACTCAGATAGGAACAGACAGATAGATGGGCTTTGGCTTACTGAGATGTCTAGAATGCGCATATATATATGAGTGTGTGTGTGTGTGTGTGTGTCCTGGGGGTGAGATGTGGGTTATGAGAAGGTGTGCGTGTGCTTTGTCATATTGGGATGAATCCTCCTTTTGTTGTCAAATCGTTTTCAATTGTTTTCCAGCTGCATTCGCTCAGCTGCTGTTTGTCAACCAACCAGCCGCCCTAAAGCCGAATTTGACACATTTTAGATGCCCCAAGGTCAGAAAAGCGTCCTGAGCTGCTGACTGGCAGACAACTAGTCTGACTGTCCACCTGTCAGGCTGACGCGTCCCTCCACATCCATATGACAGCTCTGGTTGACGTGTTGAGTGTCACGCTTAACAATGAATCCAGCTCTGCGGCGGCTGGAGGTTGTGACAAGGCTGAGAAAGGAGCAGAAAGGACATTGCTAACCGCAGTTGATAATGCAACCTCTGAAGGGCGCCGCTTGAATTAGGTCTTGACTTTGCAGGAAATACGCTGAAAAATATAACTGCAACATGCAGAGGTTTGCAGGAAGTGAACAGTGTTTTATTCCAGTTATTCTGGGGGGCTAAAGAAAGGTTTTTTCAGCCTCTTCCAAAGCTGCAGCTTTGACTACGACCACTGTTATATAATAACATCTTATGAGTCCCTGAAGTATCAATCACTATACTCAGTAATTCAATTGCCCCATCAATTGTTTTGTCACTGTGCAAATGAGGAAAAATTGAGTTATACGGTTCACAGAGTGTTGCTCCGATTCCAACATTCATAAACACTTACACAAAACCCTGTACAGAGTCAGCTGGTTCGAAGGAACTCCACGTATTGAGAATTTATACATGAGGCAGAATGTGTTTGGTGCATGCTAATTGATCTCTGTAGAACCGAATAAAACTCATGAAACACTTCCTCATTATGCTCAGCACGATGAGGCTTCAGCTCAGTTGTTCTTGTTTGACCCGTTTGTAGTGATAATTGGAGCAGATTCATGTGTAATTCAATTGTCTGCACTCAACACCTTTGAGGAGATTGGTAGAAATGCTCCACATTTGCATGCTGATACAAAATGGACCAGATTGTTGATGCACATGATGCGTGTGTCGGGCCTTCAAGCAGTAAAGTATTACAAAATATGCTGTTTTATTCATATGGCGTAGAAATTATTCAAAACCACGTTTCAGAACAATCCTCAGTCTGGTTTTTATGCAGATTTCCAAGTGGGGTTCAAATGAAATATTGAGCACGAACTTTTCTTCTCACGGATCCGTTTCTCTATTTCCCATCACGGAAATAAGCGGATCATCAGTTTGATTTTAGGTCGAGGACTCAGCCGACCTCTCATCCGGCTGTGTTGCAGCTGAGGGTGAAAAGCTCGTCGTCCTCGTCCGCCCTCCTAGTTTGTTTTGAGCCTCATCTCTTCGGTCTCCTCGTCCATTTTAACACCTTCATCTGTGTGTGTGTGTGTGTGTGTGTGTGTGTGTGTGTGTGTGTGTGTGTGTGTGTGTGTGTGTGTGTGTGTGTGTGTGTGTGCGGATCAGGATCAAGGTGAATGACCAGATCGTGGAGGTGGACGGGACCAGTCTGGTGGGCGTCACTCAGAGCTTCGCCGCCTCCGTCCTCAGGAACACATCGGGAGTCGTCAGGTACGACCTTCAGTCAAACACACGGTCCCATGTCTTTTGATCCTATATGTCATTTTTATTAATGATGTACTTGATAGAAACAAGACGGAGTGATGTCAGTGACTTCACCGCCAGTAAGATAAAAATAGACCTAGATTGGGCAAATATTCTACTATGGTACTCCAACATGGGTTTAAGCTCATATGTAGAATAACATGTAAAGATTCAGTGCTTCATCCATTAGTTTATTTTCTTCTATTATTTATTTATCGCATTCACACATTAGATTTGTGGGATTTCGCCGCTCTGATGAGGATCTTTGGATTAACATAAGATTACGGAAGTGTGTCAAGCAGCTATCAGCCCAGAGAACCAGACGTACCAGACGTACCGCTATCAGACGTAATTACTAACAAACGCAAGCTTATAAAAGCCTCCTTTTGAACTCAGCAATCAGGGGGCGAGGGCAGTCTTTGCTGTCCGCTGCCACTGCGTCTTACAACTCTGAAAGCTGCTCATCCTGCTGTCGTGGTGCAAACAGCTGCAACGAGATTTGGCTTGGCTTGGTCCCTTAACACCATTAACATGCCCGAGATACTGGAGGATGTGGGAACACAAGTGTGACACGAGGATGGAGTTCGCTAAGAGGAGCGGAGAGCGCACACGCACACACGCACACGCACACACGCACACGCAGCGGGGAGGCTTTGATTTGGAAAAGCATCGCTGTCCTTTGCATCTCTTTCTTTAAGTTGGTTCTTTCTGTTGACTCTGTTTTACCTCCATCAGCTTTTATTGAGTTACTACTCGTCTCTCTCTCACTTATCTGCTGATAATGTGAATAGTCTCCTTTCAAATGAACTTCTGTCCGTTTTTTTTACTTTGAAAGGCTTAAATTTGTGTAATTAATTGAACCATGAGTCCATATATGGTTTCAATCATCATTTTGGATTATTATTTGGTCATAATAACAGCGTATTATTCTGGTTGGCATGTCATCAGCACTTGTGGGAGGATGCATGTGTTCACTGTGGAGACTGAACAAAGACATCCAACAGTATCAGAGCAGATGATATTTGCTGAACCAATATTGACTTTTTCTCCACACACCAGGATGTGGCACTAAAGGTGAGGCAGCCTTGAAATGTTCCATCCTATCATCTGTCTATCTTATCTAGCAAGTTGCGGATAAATAAAAATGTGCGCTGAAGAAATGTTTATAGTCTTCATCAGACCGTTGGAGAAATAATAGTTTAACATATAAAAGGTACAACACTATTCCAACCAATTACAGCAAATTCTAACGATTCACACATTCACTCTCTATTTCAGTCTTCCTCCATCATGTCTCACCCACCCACCCACCTCCTCCTCGTCTTCCTGCTCCTCCTCAGCAAATCCTTCTCTCTCTCTCTCTGTCTGATCACCAGAGGTTTTATGGCAAACTGTCCTAGATTTGTCGTTTTATCTATATTTAACCCTGACTTCCAGCACTAAATCATCCAGGTTCCAGTCAGAAGTTCCTCCTGGTGTGACACTATATTTAGTTTATGCAAAACTCAGGAGTATCTGCACTTAGTAACATGATAAAGCTGGCACAATAACAAGGTCATTTTGGCCATGAGAGTTACATTTTTTAAATGTCATTTTGGGGATGTGATGATAAGGGACGTATCACATTTTCACCACATGAGTGATTGGAAAAGCTTTCTTGCTATCATGTGGAGAAGTGAAAAATGGAGCCCTATTTAATAAACACAGGAATGATCATTTTAACTGTGGCTCAGTGTTAGAGTGGGTTGTCGTTTGTTTAAAAGGTTCAATCCCAGGCTCCACCCACACTTAATCCGCAATTTATGATGATAATATGTTGTGTAAAAGTGCTTTGAGCGGTCTACAAAATAGTTAAGTACAAGTCCATTTACCTTTTACCATTATACATATTGTGTGAGCCGGATTAACAATCATTAATTATAAGAAGTATTCCTGCAGTATCCTATATTCATTTAAACACAATGAAAAGGCCACAACCAACAATTTAATGGATGGTTTAATTGGAATTTGCCAAAACTTGATGAAGCCTGTGCCATAGATGTCTGTTGTTCTCCAAAAACTAATAAAAACACATAAAGGAGCCATGCTGTTTTAATGGGTGACGAAGTCCTTTGTTATGATGGTGTTTATTTACACTCATCTTACAATATCCTGCACCTGTAAAAACTCTTCTTTGCATTTACTCAAAGCGACACGGCCGCGTTGTTTTTGGAAACCACTTCTTCTTCTGGTCTATTTACTTTACACTATGTATTTGTGGCCATTTTTTCACATCTTCAGGGCAACTAATGATGCAAATGTTGACGGAAGAACTCTTATTATTGGAATTTGTTGAAAATGTGAAATCTCGCCGTTTAACTATTTCTGTTATCATGCACCCAATTTTTACAACCTGCAGAGAGAAAAGTTTAGAAATCTCTACATGTCACCTGACAACCCACACTGCCTGTGGACTCGATGCTTCCTACTGAGGAAAACCGTTGTTTCTTCAAGTTCCGGCACCATACCACATGTGTAACGAGAGCGTGTCTGTTTGAGTAAATGAGATCAGTAGATCTCGGCTGAGTGCGGCAGCCTCAGAACAGTGAGCTCCTCATGCGTGAGGGTCGGGGGGCTGTTTCCAGGTCAGCTGCTCCTCAGGCCTCCCTGCTGTCCAAAGGCTTGTTCCACTGCACTACTTGGCTTCGCGCAGGCCTTCACTCCTCTCTGTCTCCACCGCGACCTTCAGTTGTTCTTTCACATGTGGATCAAATACTCCTCTGGAGCGTGAGGCCTTTTTCTACGTCGCCCTCAGAAGTATTTGAAAGGAACTGAATTCACTTGATTCTCTCTCTCACTCTCTCACTCTGACACACTTACTTGTTCACAAATAATGCCTTAAGCGCATACACACACACACACACTTGCACATATATACTAAGAAGACATTACATCAGTAACATTAATGTCCTTGAGCCGTAGCCCAGCTGCTATTCACCTTGTCCTCAACCTCACCCGAACTTTGAGCCAAGTCTTTTCCCTACTTTTTTTTTTCCTTCATAGGGACTATGAATCATTTTGAATACAAAAGGCAGTTGAGTCCCTACAATGATACTGTGTAAATAGATTACATGAGTAATGGACACACACACGGGGCCGAACTCTTTTTATTTTTATTTGTTTTGGGAGATCTTTTAGAAATTCATTTGTAGTTTTTGGCAAGAGTAGATCTCAGCAATGCCAGGAATGCACTAATTGACATTATCCAGACAGCCGAAATCCACTATTATGGATTTTGGGCAGCTGTTCACAATTTGAATACATCCATGAGAAATATGAAGACTGAAGGGAAAGTAAATCCCATTTTCAGCAGCAGGGATAAGCGAGACCAGCATAGTGCTGAAAAAAAGACATTCCATACAGCAATACTGCCTCTGGAATTACGTCTTTAGTGGTGGATTACAAGTGCATTGGGCATTTCACTATACGTTTTGAATATTTTAGGGGTTTCGCTTTGTTTTGTTTCACTCAGTCAAAATAAGTTCCCCTCGCAGTCGCAGCGTAACGGTTTGTTGGTCAATGGGTTGGAGGTTTCCTAGAACAATTCATAGAAGTTCATTGCTGTTTATTACAAAGGAGGAAATGCTACAGCGTCTCCCTTTTTACCTTTTTCATGTTTGATGGAAAACCATGTGCTCTTGATAATTCTGATATCTGATAATTCTTTATGTGTTGTCGGTGGTACGTATGTATGTATGTATGACGGCAGTAGTTGGCCGTCCTCCGAGGCAGAGCTTGTGGCTTTCTCCATTCAGTTCCTCGCCAGGATAATAACAGACTTCCTGGCTGAGCTGACTGTCTTCTCGTATTATTATGCGTGTCCCGTCTCCCGGCCCTGCCCTGAAACGTCAGCAGATATAGCGGTCATGGCTCCATTGGCAGTGTCCTGATCTCACACGGTGCATTTCTGTGGTCCTTTTCCTCCGCAAATGCACACCAATACCAGAAAAATACCCCAAATATGTTTATACATGCCCTTTAAATATAACAAAATGATAAGCTATGTTTGCGTCAATTGCATATCCTTAAAAAAATGCAGAATTTCATGTTTGTGGCCATTTTATTCCTTTTTGTTAAAAATAGTTTTCTGTACAAATGATAAACTTTATGACACTGTAAAACAAGGCATGGGAAACTGGGAACCCTTCAGAATCTGTGTGTTTTATATTATGTGAGTTTTATATTCTATATTATTCCATTTTCCATTCCATCTTATTATCCCAAAATGCCTTTCACTCTTTATTTCATACCAGGCGGAAACATCAGGCCCTGAAAAGTCAAGCCAATGCAGAACCGTCTAAAAACGGCCAATCCATGTAATGTCCAGCAGGGGGCCTCACCTCTGGTTCCAAAAAGTAGTCTGATTTAGTTCTGACTCAAATTATTACCGTAGTAAACATTAACACGAGTTTATGGTCTCAATCTCTAGTTTCAGGTCTTCATCAATACAGCAAGAGTAAACTAGACCGTAAAGCAGCTGCTTTAGTGTGTGGCTACTAGTGATTGACAGATCGTGAACACGGCACTATTGAGTCTGGGAGTTCTTCGTTTTTTCATTTTACACCTTTAATACTTTCACAGTGTGTTATTAACTTTTTAAACGATTTTGGTTCTGCTCAGCTCCACAAACCAATGGGTGAGCTCACGGTGACTACGTCCCCTTCATACAAACCCTTTGCTCCAGAATCAGATTCAGGGACTCAAGACACATAATATAACTAATGATTTAAAAAAATCATTTTTAATGATTTAACGTGTTAATTCATTCAATTAAAATACTCAAAATATGCAGTAACCGTTATGTCCCCCCAGGCTGGTTCGACCCTGTATTCCGTGTTGTTGCCAGGACACTAACGGTGCGCGTTGTTGCAGGTTTGTGATTGGTCGAGAGCGTCCGGGTCAGCAGAGTGAGGTGGCCACGCTCATCCAGCAGACCCTGGAGCAGGAGAGGAGGCAGAGAGAGCTGCTGGAGCAGCAGTACGCCCAGTACGATGCTGATGACGACGAGGTAATGACCACGCACGTCCCTGGCCATTGGGTTTCGCAATAAAGGATTACGCATAAGAGGATAACATTGTCATATGTATCAATGAGGCGTATTATATCTATATTTATTTGAATCCGCTGTCCATGAACTTCTTACACAGGACACGCAGGCTTCCAGTTGTCACTTAACGTCAATCAGCTCCCTCCTCGAGAGCGCTGAAGTTTTAGCTTATTAACTCCATCTAACGGACAGTGGCACACAAACACACTCAAACACACGCACGCACAAACATACCAAGAGGAGGCGATGTGTGTTTTGGACCTAGAAAGCATCACTCTTTTCCTCTCTGCGTTTGCTCGTTCAATCCAGCAGACGCTGAGCTCATGCTATCTGCGTGTTTGGGGGCATATGCACATGTAATCACACACTAAAGATCAATGCATTCATGCAGACACACACTCTCCCTAGTGTGTTGTCTTCATCAGTGGTATTTGAAGTTTTTCATTGACTGGGGCTTTTACGGCCTTTTATGCATAAAAAAACCAATGGCAGGATCCCACTTACATCTAGCGGCCACAGCTTTTATTAAATCTCCTTGGCAATCAATACATAGATTACTAACCGTAAAACGCACTTGAAATCGTCCACTGTTGAGCACCGAGCCACCCGTAACTCCTTACGACAGGGTAAACCGTTACAAAACCACTGCAACGATCTATGGGGCAATAAAAGGAAGTCATCAATATTAATCTCTATAAATATTGGAATGAGTTCTCACCGCGGCGGAGGGTTGTTTCTGTCCGGGAGCGCTGCATGGGTGGAGACAGCCGTTCATTTGTTGCTGGGCTTCCCCTCCCGAGTGGAAGAGATGCTCCGTTAGTTAGTAATACACATCTCTCACACATGCGCGCACACACACACACACACACACATTTACATAAGGAGATGGATGGTCGAGTGTTTGCTCCATTGTTGTTGTGAGAAGAAAAAAAACACTACGTTGAATTTGGGTTTCATTATCTTGAAGCACATGATCTTGATGTAAATCATTTGTATTTCCAGGCTCTTCCATATTTATGGTTTGAAGTGAGTTAGCTCTTAAATTTCAGTTTAAAAGTAACTTTCCCAATTGTAATTGTAATTTATTTTTAAGATCTAAGATGGTTTGTTTCTTGTTGTTTTTGTTCTTAATTCTGTTTTCTATGTTGTTCTTGCACTATGTTGCCTTCTCTGTCTTGTTGTCCATTGTCTTGTCAGATGTTATGCACCAACCGCCAAGTCAAATTCCTTGTATGTCTGACATATTTTGGTAATAAATTGATTACCAATATCTGATTCCTGATGAGGAGTTAGATGTTGATGTAAACGGTTTATAAAATGACTTAAATACATTGATATCCTGCATGTTATCAAATAACAACATTAGCCCAAGTTGAACAATAGTGCACACACACACACACACACACACACACACACACACACAGAGTCAAAGCTGTGCCCAGTGGCCCACATGCGCTCCTTCCCCATTCAAAGGTCTTTTCCTCCGTCATAACCACATATAATAGACGTTAACTAGCACCTTCCTCCCCCTATGCCGCCTGCATGTGGTGGGAGGTGATGCATCTATCATATGCAAATTGGCGACGTGCCTGTGTTAATGTAGGATGCTGGTACCATGGCAACAGGCAAGCCTGTTATGGAAATGGAACTCTTATGTCGGTCATGCATGCAAATGGATGAGGCCCGAGCGCTGTAATCTGGGAGGAAGATGGATGGAGGGAACGAGATGAGGAGGAGATATAGGCCAGGATGATGAGACCGTGTGTGTGTGTGTGTGTGTGTGTGTGTGTGTGTGTGTGTGTGTGTGTGTGTGTGGTGCACATGTGTGTGAAAGATCAAGACAGAAATCAAGTTGGAAGGGAAAGATACTCGTAAAGAAACAGAGAGAATAGTGACATAAAGATTTACTTATAGATGTTTTCATATAATGGCTTCACTCAAAAAAAATAGAGTTAAGAGTGAAATTACTGATCAAGTTAGATCATATGCTTAATAGCAAATGCCAACATTATTTGTTTTTTTTGAGAATTAGAGGAAAGAAAAACGGCCTGAATATATGCAGCATCAAGCTTTCACTGCTGGTGACTTTGCCGTCAAATACAATTGTCTCTACAGGCTCAAATTCTTTATAGTTTCGACTTGTTAACAAGAGGCGAAATGCCATAGAAATGCCTGACAAGGCAGTCAGACCAAACCTTTTTTTTTTTTTTTACAAAGTTTTGGCCAACTTTGCGTGTTACCGTATCCTTATATAACTGGTAGCATTAAAATAGCACTACTTAGTGTGATGAAAAAACATGAGGATAGTGGAGTTTCTGGAGGTGCTTGACACGCAACGGGAGGCACTCAGAGGAGAGACGGGAGATCAAGTCGTCACTTTATCATTTTAACCTTTCAATGTTCTCAGCTGCATTATTTTTCAAACGGACATCTCGTATAACCGGCTCGCTCTTTAAACCCGCTTTGCCTTCCCTCCTACAGCAGACGGGAGAGTACGCCACGGATGACGAAGACGCGGGGACGCAGGTCGCGGCCGAGGACAAAAGCATCGAGGTGTTCGATTTGCCCGAGTCGGAGGAAGTGCCGTCGCCCTCCGAGTTGGACGCCAGCAAACTCTACCAGAAGTTCAGAGAGGTAAAGATGTTCAAACCCCACTCTCGAATCCCAAAATGGGAAGAGGTCTCTACTCGTGGGAGCCCGCCGCAAAATGCATTTAAAAGGACAAACACAGACCAAAAGCCACAGATAAGAATTCTGTTAAAACGCGGAGCGATGCCCACACAATGGAGTCTGCCCCCCCCCCCCCGCCCCCCGCTTTACTTGGCAAAGTTTTGTAAAAAAAAACAACAACTAAGATCCGCTTACCCGCCCTAATTCCTAATCTGGATGATTAGAGTTGTGAGTACAAAAGCGATGTAAGGCCAGTGCTCATTACATCTCTAATCACCCGTGTTTTGTGGAAGCCCACAGATGAAGCTTTAAACACTTTAAACCTGTATTTAAATCCATTGGTATCTCGCTCTCGGCTTCGCGCCGCCGGCCTGTGAGAAAAGGAATATATTTAGCTAAACTTTTGCCGCCGTCCCTGACGACGAACCGCCGAGAAGCTGCTAATGTCGATCGACTCCGCTGCTACTAAAACACGTAAAGGCCTTTTCATGCAGACACAAGCAGTTTGACACATTTAACAAACTGCTTGTGGGAATCGGGTAGAACGATAATGCAGCCCTGGTCCAACAATGTACAGCCGCTCTCTTTTTCGTTTCCTCTGTATCTTGACCTCTTGTCTCCCAGAAATCAGCTTTTACCTTTTTTGTTTCTCTGATTTCCTACTTACTTCCTGTCTGTCTTTGCTGCCTGTTACATGCTCGAGGAAAAAAGAAGCAAGATAGCTGAGAAATAAGTCCTTTAAAAAAATCCAAAGACAACGTGATAGTAAAAATGGTTTTAGTTGTTTTTGTAGTGATTCAATTGTACTCTCCTACTTTTTTTCTCTTATTTCTGCCTCATTAACTACATGTCTCATTCGTCATCTTCACGTCTTCCTCTCCACCTCCTCTTCACTTTAATCTCTATTATCCACCATCTCTGATTGCTCATCTCAACTTCTATGCCTGATTGCTTTGTCGCTCTCTCCATTTCCAACCCCATCCATCATAAAAAATAAATATTCCACCGTGAATTTTATTTTTTTAGATTCAATGCTGTGTCAAATTTTCTTTTTAAGCAGTGTAGCTTTTTATCCTCTTCGGCCATCCGTGCGTTTGCTCTCTGAGAGTGCGTGCCAGAGCTGGAGCCGAGATGCCGTCGGAGAGGACGAGGTCCGCTGCCCCTGTCCGTCACGCGTTCGATTCTCTGACCGCCCTCTCTTTTCTTTCTCTTTTCTCCGCCTCTGTTCTCAACAGCTGCAGATCAAACACACAGTGACCGAGGCCGAGATCCAGAAGCTCAAAAACAAGGTAAGAGATCAACACTTGATGATAATCTTTTGAAATGGGAAGCTGATTATGTTACTAATACAGTGGCTGTCATATCAAGCTTATTGTAAGAGGCTGCACGATACTTCTCTTTAAAAATATTATCTACAGTACAGAAGTGAGAGCACATTGACTTCTGTGTAAGAGTGTATGTTTACCTACATATACACATCTGTGTAATGTGTGATGGTGTGATTTTAATAATTCCCGGATTAATGTGTCAGGTGTTGTTGTGATTAAATTTATTACAGTAGCGGTGCCTTATCAGGCTTCTGTTTAGGAAATAAGAAAAGATCCCCCTTTACAGATAAATTAAGTCATGCAATCTGTTCTCAGAATGCAAATATTGCTGAAAAAATACTTTTAAAAAAAAAGCTTTATCTAATGTTTGCGTTTAGTTGCAGGCAGTAAAAATACATTTGCTAGTGTTTTGGTTTGAGATAAAAAAATGTAGAAAATGGTAAAAATGAAAACCTTTTATTCCCCAAAAATGTCCTTTTGTCGAGGATTCCTTGCTCAGTATTGTGTGCAATTGTCTGTTAAATTCTCCCCGTGTTGTAACCAAAGTTACTCGTGGTCCCGTGCAGTTGTCGTCAGTGGAGAGGGAGAAGCAGCGCTGGGAGAAGGAGAAGAGCCAGCTGAAGGCCAGCATCGAGGAGAACAAGGAGAGGATGCTGAAGCTGGAGAGCTACTGGATCGAAGCGCAGACCCTGTGCCACACCGTCAATGAGCACCTGAAGGAGGCCCAGGCCCAGTACCAAACCCTGGAGAAGAAGTACAACAAAGCCAAGAAACTCATCAAGGACTTCCAGCAGAAGTGAGTGAGCCTGGATTAAAGCGGTCCTCCTAATCTGGGATGGAGGAGGACAAGGGGGGGGGGGGGGGGGGCCCCCGAAGTAAAAATATTGCCCGAATCTGGCCACAAACCCATCGTAACCCCGGGGTGGTTATAATATACCGGCTAGCGATGCTAAATATGTGGCCCACCCTGCCACTGGCCAAGGTACCGTAAAGGGGAAGTAAGACAGCTACCTAAAGTTACCTGTTCTCTTTGATATAGATTTACTATTTACCTTTTATTCTTATTCATTTTTCTGTGCAGATATTGATGTACTGTATTTTATTTAGGCTCTTTACCCCGTGTAAAACTTGATTTAATTATATATTTTTCTTTTATAGAACACATAGGCCTGATGTGTGAGGCTATTTATTTGTGATGAATATTTCCGTGTTGATACAAAGCCACATTTTTACAGACTTTTAAGTCCCATTAAACAAAAATATATTTATACTTAATCAATCAAGTTGTTGTCTTTTAATAGCTTTGCTTTGTTACACTGACATTCTGTGACTGTTCTTTTTTGTGAGGTTCATCAGAGCTCTGTGTACATTTTATATATATATATATATATATATATATATATATATATATATATATATATATATATATATATATATAACCCAAACATGAAGGCACTGCTGCAGAAAATCTGCAGAAAAACGTATTTGCTATATTTTAAATACAAAACACATGTATTGTATTTGGTGGCACCAATATTTTATTTTTATACATTTTTATACATTTATTCGAAGGGTATTTTTTAAATCAAAATACTTTTTTTTAATGTGTCCAACCTTTTGTCTCGTACTGTAAATCTTGTCCGCTCACACCTACTCACCACATTACGATCTCCCCTCCCTCTCGTCTCCCCAGAGAGGTGGAGTTTATCCAAAAGGAGGATGCGGAGAGGAGGCGGCTGGAAGACGCTGAGAAAGCTCACCTGGCTGAGATCCAGGGACTGCAAGTCAGGGTAAACCACATCTGTGAAGCCAACCCTGTTCATCTCTCACCTCCATCTTCCCCTGGCCCCAAACAGCCCTAGAATTTAAACATACTAATAATGACTTTAGGCACACATCACATAAAACAAAATATCAGTATGATCTAAAAGATCAGCAGCATCGCTCCATCACTACTGCTTTGCAAGGCTTCGAAAGGATCTCCCTGCCACACATGAAGGTGTTTTCCTCCTCCGGCAGCGGCAGCAGAAGGACTCTGTGTTCAGAAGCCTGTGGTTGTTTCCAATTTCAAACTCTGTATTGATTTTCTGCCTTCCGTCCTAAAACAGTCAGACCGCTGTGTTGTTTTCTGCTCACGTCTCAGGCTATGCCCCACAGTTGAGTGGGCAGTCAACCCAACTGTCCCCTGCTATTACCCAGTGAGCATTCATTCATTCTCCCTCTACACCGCACTGTGAATGCTGTGGAAAAAAATAACAGGCGGGTTATGAGGACTTTAACTGAACTGACTCGTGCTCTTCATGTGCAACCGCGCCAACCTTCATGCAACACATACACATTTATAAACAGAACTCAAAAGGTTCATGTTGACCCTTTATTTCACTAATTTAAAGCTGCTACATACTCATACGTGGGTTCTCTCTCCTTCCACAGATTGCAACACTAGAGTCCGAGTTAATGCAGCTGATGAAGCAGAACGGCATCCAGGTCAACAACAACAACAGCAACAGCGCTCAGCAGAACAGCCCCCGGCGGGCGGCAGCACAAGCCGGAGGTGTGTTTGTGGAGGGGACCAGTCGATAGAGGCAGGCTAGCTGCTCCCAGTCTCAGCTAAGCTAAAGGTCTCCTGGGTCAACTGTCACATTGGGCGCACAAACATGCACAAAGTATTGATTTGACCACGTAACACTCAGCAAGAACGCAAAGGAGCCCGTTTCACGACATGTTCATTTAATGAATGCATGTACAGATGAAGCAGGAACGTCTTGCATTTGTTGTATCGCAACAACTGAGTACCTAAATTGTTTGTTTTTATCCTCACGAGGACCCATAATGCAACACAACAACATTGCCTCAAAGTTCTTGCAGGCCCTCGCGGTTTATTGACGTCTTTGGCCCTGTGAAGACACACACACTGATTCCTTTAAACACACACATCCTCCTCTCTTCCGCGGCCTTCGACCTTCACGCGCCTTTCAAATTTGACTGTAGTTGGACTTTGAGTCTCTGCAAAAAATAATAATCCTCTGTCTGCTTTTGTTCTCCTCAAGTCTGTCGGAGAGACCTTTTTAAATGGAATTGATTCCTCTGCCCCGACAGCAGCTTCATGTGCAGTCCGTAAATTAGCAGAAACATTCTAATTGCTTGCGTAATTCGTGTTAGTTTTTGCGAGAGACTTGGTATTTTTACTGCGTTTTTTTTAAATGTAATATTATTTAATGGGTCCGTGTCGAGCCAAATTAAGAGCCCATTAATGAATCTGAAACAAAAGAACACAACAATTACTGAACAAATGTATTTAATGAAGTATTTGTTTTTACTTAAGCTCAACAATGTGTGTGTGTGTGTGTGTGTGTGTCTTGTGACTAGATCTGAAGGAGGCTTCTCCTTATTCCCCCAACAAAAAGAAGATGTGCGGTGACAGCATCAGCTCCACAGAGGGGGAGGTTTGTGTGAAAAAACGCACACCTGCATGTTTTTTTTTCTCAGTCACCACCAGATTTCTTATTAAACAACATCTGTTGAAATATCAACCAGATGCTCGTTCATTTGACTGCTCTTACAATTGATATGTATTTAAATTCACCACATGGTGTTTAATTAATGTGTGTTCGTCGGGCCGGCGTGTTTGTTTTCAATCATTCTATTCCTTTAATTGATGAATGTGTTGCTTTGCGTTACTAATTGAGGCTCTGCCGTTGTCACAACGTATTGTCTCTCCCCTGTGTGATAATAGCAGCCGCAGCCTTTTGTTCCGGAGGGAAGGCTCTCATCTGGCTAATGCTGTTACTTGACTCTGCTAGAGCAGGAAGGAGTTTAGGTTGGATGAACCACTTCGAGAGGCTGATTCAGAATTGGCAGGAGTGTGAAGGCAGGAATTAGAAACGTTGAAAGTATGCCGAGTAACTTCTTCCAGATGAGTCTTCCGTATTTGCCGGTTCACATACAGTTTGTTCTGAATGCACATTCTTTTTCAGAGCCTTTGCTTTCCTCCATTTTGCGTTTCCCGTTCATTTTCTTCCGCCCGCACTCCCCCCTCACACTCCCCCTCCCTTCTCCTCCATTTGCTTCATTTCTTGTCCCCTTTTTTTTGTGCCTTTTATGCTCCAGGCGTCGGAAGGACACAGCAGTCCGGCCCACAGTCGGCCGGGTTCTATTCGCAGCGCGGCCTCTTGTGATGGCGCAGGAAGCTCCCCCAGGCGAACTCTGCACCGGCCGCCCCCCGCAGGTCAGCACTCCTGCACTTCTCACCACGAGCACCACGGATCAAATGGTCACCAACGCATCTGCAGCTGCGTCCGCTGGTCACTTGAAGTAGGAGTAACGTCAGTGTGCGGTCGTTTGTCGTCGCAGGTTCTCGGTCTCCTGCGACGTCGAGCCCCTCCCACTGTGTGGAGGAACGCAGACGAGCTCCGGATCCCGGGTGAGATTAAATACCAGAATGAAATGACAGGATTTCGTTACATACACCAACTGAAGAATAATTCATTGTCCTTCAATGCCATTAATTGGCACTCAATGTGATTTTTCTGTAACGCATTTATTAACTATTTTGTTTATAAATGATAGATTTGGTCAGAGTGGTATCATGGATGATGAAATCAGACCAGAAGATGGATGGTTTACAAGTATTTAGTTCATTCATGCTGGACAACTTCTTCTAAATGTTATCAGAAGTGGAAGTGCAGAAGCTGTTTGCTACAGTAAACATCAGCTGACCTTGACGCCATTTTCCTCTCCGTCCCGCAGATCCACAGAGACGTCAGCAGAGGACAGTCCACACAAACTCAAGGCCAAGCTACATGAGGTTTGGTCACAATTAATGATTCACTGCACAGTTCACACTGAGGACATGAAGTGACTCTAAAGTATTCATAAGTGGAGTGAGAGCAAACTGTAAGTTTGATCACATGCTTTGATGTGTTATTTCTGAACAGACCTCCCTTACATGGCCCCACTTCTTCTCCTATTCATATTACTTGGTATTGTATTATTTTGTGCTTTGTTCAATTTGACCTCAATGTACTGAACTGGAAATTAGTTGCTATGTCAAAAAATGCATAATTGCATTATGAATTCAAAGAAAATCAATGGGTTTTCCTCAATGATCCTCAATAATAACCCTTTTCTGATCCTAACTAGGCCTTTATGTGCTTTTTGACAATCGTGGGATCTTAAATCATGATTTTGTAGAAAAAAAGAAACGTTTCCTTTGCGAATCAGTTTGTTTCATAATGCACCTTCAAGCACACATGTCGTAATGACACAGTAAGATTACATTTGTTTAAATGGGCAGTGAAAACTGTTTATAATCCTGTGTGATATCACACGTGGTACCATAGATTATTTTTGATTCTGCACTCATCAAATCATTGTCTTCAGTTGTGATCTAGCGCTATCTAGAAAATAAAATTAAACGAAACTGACTTGAACTAAAAGGGGAGGGGGGCGCCCCTCTAATATAATGGTAGGGGAAACTCTGATATATCATTAGTTATTCCTCTCCTTATAGTCCATAGAGAGAGAGAGAGAGATGTATTTTTTTATTGCATCCAGCTCCATCATTTCCAACCCCTAATGACATTCAGTTTTTGCTATAATGGAACATCATAAAAATGAGGAATGTGCACAACCCTGATGTCCTGCAGTCAATAAAAAAAGCGTATATATATATTAGTTAAGTGTACTTTTTATTGGCTGTCAAATAGAAGCGCATAGATCATTCTGTACGATGCCCCCTCCTCCGGACTCTCCGTTTGAGGGCGTAGAAGTAGAGAAGCCCTCCATCTAATCAACTAAAGCCGGTCCTCTCTCCCCCTGAGTCCTATGAGAGTGTTCTTGATTTCTCAGGGACCCGCTCTGAACGACGATCTGAGCGCCAGCAGCAGCAGCAGCAGCAGCTCGGTGGAGATCAGCGGCCTGCAGAGCGAGACCAAGGCGCTGGGACGCTCACACACACCGGCGCTTTCCTCAGACGAGGTAACCATATAGACTTGGAATATGTGTCTTTTTTATTTCAACGGTAGGGATTGAATTGTCTGAACGAACCAGTGGCCGGCTGTTCATTTTTCAACTTTTTCACTGAAAGGCTTTAAAGACAGAAGCATTATCCAACAGGAAAAAGCTTTCATATTTATCATGCAGAAAACCACAAGCATTAAATCAATGCACTACTTATATTTGAATGATGTCTCAGTTGTTGTAGTTTGCCCTGTTACCAGCCCAGTCTTCTTCTGTTTATTTCAATGCTGCCGCACTCAGAGTCTGGATATGATTGATGATGAGGTGAGAACTGTGTTCAAATGCATGCAATTTTTCACGTGTCCGTTGCGTATAAGCCAATTTTGCTGTTTGATAACAACACATCATTCATGCAATAGAAGGATTTTCATTAAAATTCAGCAGTCTGTCGGAAAAAAAATCTATATCGCAATATTGGGTTTGAAAGATTTGCATCTCATTCTTTTTCTAATTCTCTCCTCCTGTTGTATGTGCTCAGATCCTCGACGAGGCACAGTTGCAGAAGCAGTTCCCCTGTCAGAACCACAGCATTGCAGAGTGGACCTCCCAGCAAGTGGCCCGCTGGCTAATGGGCCTCCACTTAGAACACCACATCCCAGAATTCACTGCCAGGAACATAGATGGAGAACAGCTGCTGCAGCTGGAGAGTGCTGAGCTCAAGGTGAGTGGTTCGTACACGCTCACATACACACATATATATATATTTGAGAACGCCAATGTATCAGGTCACATGTCAGTCAATGAGTGCGAGGAAGTGTAGTAATACCAAAGATATGTTTGAGGGAATTTAATTTTAACATGTCGGAAAGTAAGTGTGATTATTTTATGTTATGTTTATAACATAATCAAAGTAACATAATCAAAGTAACAAGCCCGACTCAAAACCCTACATATAAAATGAATACAATAGAAATATAGTAACAGTATTTTCAGTGCTGTACCACACATTTTAAAAACCATCACAGGGATATTGGCACGAATAAAACTTAAATCAGGTTCCAAGGACATTTTAAGCAACGACAAGTGAATTAGATTCAAATCATAAAATGCTTTAAAGGAGGAACGACAGGAAAGTTATGGGCGGTTCATTTGTTTCAGGCCCTTGGAGTTTCTTCTTCCCAGGACCGGGCCCTGATCAAGAAAAAGATCAAAGACCTTAAAGTTCTGCTGGAGAAGGCCCAGAGGAACCGAGAGAAAGTGGAGAAACAGCGCGAGAAGTTACAGAAGCGCGAGCTTGAGCAGCAGCAGAAGGACGCGAGCAGAGAAAGCACGGCGTGAAGTGAAGTGAATTGTTAGATCGCCGACCTGCTGCTTTTCTGTAGCACCACACCGAGTAGCACCTGGAGGAACAGAACGTCAGTAGGCCACACTAGGAACCCTGAGGGACGCCTGCTCAGTAGTTCAATGCTTCTGACTGGTGGCGCCACACACCCAACTGTCGGAGACCAATGAGTGACTTCTTCACCAAGCAAATTAAACCAAAATATGCCGTTGGATATGAGGATCCCGTCCCGTTCAATTGCCTCATTTTACACCTAGTTTTTTGGCCATTTGAGATTTTAAAATTTAATTTGGCTGTTTATTGCTGTAAACAAGTGTTCATTCATAGCCAGAAAAAAAGTCTGCAAACAGTTCAACTCATCCTCATGTCATATCGTCTTCGTGGAATTATCCATAAAAACACCCGTAGACGGCACGGCGCTAGTACACATTTGTCTGATGTGCCATTTCAATAGACTTGTGTTCATCCCGTTGAAATACATGGATCGGCGAAATTGCTCTTGTGCTTTTACGAAGCTCACGCTGGAGAGTTGGAAGACACGAGGCAGTACTCCTCTCCCACCACTGGGTGTCCCCATGCTGCTTACTGTCAACACTTTCCAATAGGAACTAAAGGGGGAACCGAGTGCATGAAGGAGAAACAAACTCTCAGTATCTGCAAGAACACTGGAAGTGCAAACACTGTAAATTCAACCTCTGTACTGGCTTGTCCAATACAGTACAGTATACGCCGTACAGTATACATATAAAGTGTGAATGACAACGAGGACAGACTACAGTTCATGGCACTGGTTCTGATGGAGACTTCAGATACAATGTAATCATGGAATTTGTGACTAACAAAGCCTATACCACAAAAACAAAACAAAAAATGTGAAAATTACACTTTCTACTTAAATGCATAATGTTAATTTTTGACACCTCGTAACCTGCTTTTGACTTCTTTTTGTATTTTCTCTCACAAAGAAATAATACCCTGCGACTGCCTTTAGAAATTCTAAAGGAGTAGTACCCCTTCAGTGTGAGTGTTGACAGAGTTTACCTTGCAAATGATTTCTGAATATTATTTAGGAATGCTGCCATATAGACAAGTCGCCTCTGCGATGGAGGACAGACACCGTGAATCTAGAAATGATCTAAGAGACGATTACGCCTGATACTGCTGATGTGGAAGTGGCACCTGATGGAGGAAATATAGTTTTCATTTTCCTACGAAAACTGGTTCAGTAAGACTTGAAACATTTTGATTTACTTTTTAGATATAAAATGAACATACCTTTCGGCACGTGTGCTTTACGCAACTCTTGTTTTATGAATTTTGCCGGTCACTGAGAGACACGATCCCTGTGTTACTTCTTCAGCATTCCCGAGAGTCACTCCGTGGGTTTACAGTAACTAAAGAGACACCTTTGTCACCGTGATCAAAATGAAGGCAGCTTTGGTAATAATTCCCTTTTGTCTAAGGGCCCTGCCTGGTGTACTGTAAGCTGGTTAAGAGCAAGTCATATAGATACAGTTCATCCATGCAATCCCACAGTAATACATTTATCACTGATCTACTAATGTTATTATTTATTTATTTCTGTATTTAATGAAGCAACTGACTACTGTTTATGATAATTTATTCAGAATAAGAGTGAAAGAACAATAAATGATTATTAACACTTAGCAATGACTTATCCAGAATTGTATGATCACTTCCTGTTGCCAAAACTTAAAGTTATTTAGAGGTAGATGGATTTTATCAAATGAAGGACTGTTTGGAGATGCCCCCCCCCCCCCCCCCCCCACAGGGGGACCGGTTCTCCTCTAAAAAAGCCATAGGGGTGCTCCCGGGCAACCCCCAAAAAATGCTCAAGAGGGGGTCTTTAGGGCTATTTTATAACCCCTGAAGGATTCTGTGAATACACCCCCCCACACTCCCACCCCCACCCTGTAAAGGGAGTCCGACTGCACTCTTTTGACTCTTTTTGTATGTATAGTGAAATACTGAGAGCAATATGCTGAAAGAATCCTAAAGAAGCCTTGTTTTCTATCGTGACCGTATGTGTGCACAGTTTGTCCGAGGGGCTGAGGGGCTGAGGAGCTTAAAGGTCACACCTGAGGCTGCGATGTGTTTCCGGGTCGTTTCCGTGTGCTCGGCATGATGAAACCAACGTATGGATGAGACCCTGGTGCTCCTGGCAGGCGTTTGAGTCTCGTCCGGAAGGGTTTGTCTTTCATGTTTTGTAGAGAGCAAAAGATAATCGCTGACTGCTAGCCCTGCTTTCCCTCTCCTGTTAAAAAGCTGTGCTGCTTATTCTCCTCCTTCCTTTTTTGTCGTTACCTTGCTCTTATTTTTGGCATCCTGAAGTTTGAAAGGGCAGCTAAACCTGTCACACTGAATAAAATGTGCAGTCACTGTCCATAACCTGCGTGTTTTTGTTTCTTCTTTTTTTCCAACATTTATCTGACTTCCGTGATCATGTGCCAGCCGGAATATATAGGAATACCTGCTACATGCATCAGAACTGTGCAAAGATTTATGTTATGACTGTTTATGATTGTTCCTGCTTTCACCATGTGTGGTGCTTGATGCATTTCTCTCAGTGGCATCTCAGTAGACTGACTCCAGATCAGCCAGTCAGCTGTAGCTCTCCTGCCCCTCCCCCCCCCCGCTCTATTTTTACTCAGCCTAATTTCACTCCAGGCCTATTTTTCTCCCCTCTTGACGGCTCCCTTATATCACTTGTTGCCTCACTTCATATTTGCTTTTTTTCCCCTCAAACCTCATCTGTTGGCTGGACCTAATGGAGGCCTTCCAGGTTGGGTATGACTGACACCTTTAATATTCCCATTAGTGCGTTTATTTCCAATGCCCTCCACGTTGCGTGGAGAGCGTTAGCGTCGATTGGCTTTGGAGCGCCACACGGGGAGCGAGGCCCTTCTTTCACTGAGCTCATGGAGGAGTCGAGCGCCACACAGCTGTCTGTGAAGCAGCTGAAACGACGGTTCGCGGAGGCCCTGCAGGCCGACGACGCCCACGAGGTGATGCAGATTCTGCACACTGGGAAACTAGACGTTGACACTGTGCTGGAGGTGGAGGACCCCGGCATGGTGCTGGCCTCATACAAGCAAGGTACGGAGGCTTTTCCACAAAATCCCCACTGAAATGCTGCTGTGTTATGTCATAGTGTGACGAGCATTCATACCCTGAAAGATGAATTCTCACGCGAGTATCCAGGATAAGATTGTGAAACGTCGTAGTTTTAACAAGGCACTAAGAAAGGAAAAGAGATCGTAAACACTGCTTGAATATCATAACATCAAACGTTTGTTCTGTAGTTTTTCCAGTAGGTGGTGTTAAATCCCTGTGGCTCCTAAAACTAAAAACCCTCTACATGAGCTACTATTACATTACATACTCCTGGGGATTAAATATAATGCCACTATGAGGTGTGAATCTAGTCAGAGCTCAATTACTTTTGACCTCTTACTTGTAAAGCACTTGATAACCCGGCAGGAAGCATTGTGATCTTGTGGAACCTCAGCAGTCATTTGTTGCCTTTGCTTCAGGCTACTGGCTCCCAGGCTACAAACTGGAGACGTCCTGGGCGAACGGCATCCACGTGTGCGTGATGCACAACGCCGTGGAAACGGCACTGGTGCTCCTCCGGGAAGGTGCGGCCGTCAATCGGACGCCCAACGGGATGACGCCGCTGCACGTGGCCTGCGAGCTCTCCAACGGGGACTGCGTCGCCCTGCTCTTGGCCCACGGGGCCAAAGTCAACAGCCCGTCTCTGAGCGGACACACGCCGCTGCACTACTGCGTCAACGGGGCGTCCGTGGACTGTGCCGAGCAGCTCATCCTCAAAGGTCGGCAGGGAAGGGGCGAATGGATGTTGGCGGATTAATCAAAGTGATACAGAATAACCGTTGCTCGCCCCTCCTCTGTCCTCCCCGTCCCCCCACGCAGGTGCCAATGTTGATACGGCCAGCCAGAACAATGAGGAGGACACGCCTTTACACACGGCGGCCAGATTTGGCGTTCCGGAGCTGGTGGCCCTCTACTTGGAGCGCGGCGCCTCTGTGAATGCGGTGAACTCGCTGCAGGAAACGCCGCTGATGACCGCGTGCTTCTGGGCCTTCGACTCCAAAGAGCAAAACTACAGCCAAGATCACCACCTCGTCTGTCGCCTCTTGCTGGACCACCAGGCGGGTGAGCGTTGTCTCTCTTTTTCCCCCCCCCGATATTTTTTTGCTTTTTAAAAAAAAAAAAACATTTTCCTTCTCCTCAAGATCCCAACCTCAGAGAAGAGGACAACAAAACCGCTCTCCACAAAGCGGCCTGGAACTGCGACCACGTGCTGATGCAGATGCTGCTGGAGGCCGGGGCAGACACCCAGGCAATGGACATCAACGGCTGTGCCCCTATTCAGTACGTGCTCAAAGTGACCGGGGTCCGGCCCATGGCCGTACCCGAGCGCTGCTACCAGCTGCTGCTCAACCACAACGCGGCGCGGATCTACCCGCCCCAGTTCCACAAGGTGCAGAGACGGACGCCCTACGATTTCGGATCCCATTTCAGACTTCAGACGAAATGTCGTGTCTTGTTTGGCGCAGGTGCTGCAGGCGTGCTACGACTACCCTGCGGCGGTGGAAATAATGGTCAACTCTTATGAACGCTTGAAGCCCACAAAGAAGTGGAGGGCCGCCATTCCTGATGACTGCTACAAGGTAGTGCATTAAAAAAAAGCTGTACGTTAGTATGAGGTATGTGTTCAGTGAGTAACTGGGCCATAGAGCGTGATAAGCTGTGTGAAGAGTCATTTTGTTTTTGAACAATTTGAATTGATCGCTCACGATCCAGATGAGATGTGAAGTCCGTCTCCTCTTTTTTTTCCCCTTCTTCCCACTCAGCGACACAAAGACTTCTACGACTCGCTGTTCGCCGTTTGCACCGACGCTCCTCGAAGCCTGCTCCACTTGACCAGATGCGCCATCAGAGCCGGCCTGGCTGGCTTCTGCCACGCAGGTGTGGCACAGCTGCCGCTGCCACTTCCTATGAAGAAGTACTTACTGCTGGAACCCGAGGGGGTATTATACTGATGACAGATTAAAAGACCCCTTTGTTTCCCGTCTGCTGACTATAGAAAGCAAACATTCTGCAAGTTGGAGCTGGTACTGACAGGCGTGTCTTTTTATATTTTGGCTCATCATTCCTACAGAGGACTTTGTCTGGAACACGCAAGAAATCCTTCCTTGACAGTACGGAAAGAAAATAATTTGCAACTTGTCTTTGCATCACATGACTACGGGAAGGAAAAATGAGAATATTTGTTGACTGGGTCACACGGAAGCACCAACTGTATTTCACACTGTATTTCTCATCAGATGAGGAACTGAGCATCAGGTAAATACAATTAGTCTCTCCATCACAGTGTTAGCCCACATCCCCCTGGCAGCCAGCCTTAATGCTTCCTCTCGAGTTAATGCGCTAATGACACCCCCTTATTTGCTGAACAAACACTCGACAAAGCCCTCCACAACCAGTGCTTGTTATTCCAGTCGGCTGCACATGAAGCCATGTATATTGACCACTTTCATACAATAATGAAATTTCACATTTCTCGCTAAGCAGAGTCCACTGCGCAGTGATGTTGAATCTGATACTCAGGGCAGTGAAATAGCAACAGATTTGTTTGGTAAAGACACAGTGTAATAATGTTGTATAAACTTGTCTGTTCTTTGTTGACACAGCGGGTCCAGCGGCGTGTTATTCTTAGAGCAGGTTGGTACATGCGAGCGGGTTTTCCGGCTCACGGTCGCTGCTCTGAAATGCTTTCGTTCGGTGCTTTGTGTTGTTGGTGGAGAAATGAACTGGAAGCTTCAGGAAACGTTACAAGACGAATGCTGAATTAGGAGGATCAAGGAACTTAAGCTTTTTATTCATCTCCAATAACACAGCAGACACATATTCAAGACATTCAAGATATTTGTTCTTTTTCTGCAAATCCGAAATCCGGGTAAATGTTTCATGTCAGTGACCGTCTCAAAGCCGTTATTTATTATTTCAGATATTATTGCACCGCTCATGTACGTGAACAGGTGTCGCTGAGATCTGTTGGTCAGCATGTGTACCAGACACCTCCTTAGGAGGGAACATTGTGTGGAGGATTGAAGGGTCAGGCCTTGTCCCTCCTAAAATAGTGCAGTAAAGGTCAACGCACAGAGACGTTATATATTCTTAAATCAGGCATTATAATAACAGGAAGTGGAAAAGAGGCTTTCATCAGGAGGTGATTCTGACATTGCAGTGATTTCATTTTCTTTTCCCTTATCTTTAAGAAGGGAGCTGTCACAATGCGGCGTTCTCATTGCCGCGAGGCCGATCGTACCTGAATGAACTGGCAAAACGATTTTTCCGAGGGACCAGCGGAGGAAAGCCGCAGAAGGTCAGAGTGTGGCCTGTGGGCGCGGTAATGACAGAGGAGGGGAACAGCCCGTTCTCAAACTCCCCCCACATGGCAGCTGGCCACGCGAAAAAGGCTACTGGACTGTGTTCGCAATTAGTGTCAGACAAACAGAGCAAAGTTTCCTAAAACAAGCTGTGGGGAGAGAAGAGAGTTGAAGAGAGCAGATGAGTTTTGCTGGTTGCCTAAGCGAGATTTATTTTCCACATTCACTGGTCTTTCTACTGTGGCCACAAGGTACAGTAACACACAAACACAGACAATAATATCCATACAGTACACAATGCAACGTGTCCGCTGGAGACAATATAAAGTTAGTGTTCACCTTTGAATCAGCAAGATCTCGTTCTCATTCTAAATGCTACAAACTTGGCAAAATGAGTAAGAGGTTAAATGTATGTTGGATAAAGAAAACACTAATCTGTTAGATCAATACAGCTTACTCAGACTTGTCTTAGCATGTCCCGTCCGTTCCTCCTGACGTCCGTCGCACCCTCTGCAGTGACTCACTAGAATGTACAACATGCATCATTTCAAAACACTTGATGTTCCCAAATGGCAGTTCTAGACAGTTACTCTTTGAAAGCACATCAAACTTTCTTGGAGCAGGTTTAAAAAGTTTGTATTTCAGTTCTGTGTCTATTATTATTGAGACAGTCATGGATAATTTGGCAGTTTTACAGTTCGAAGAAAATTATTCACAGTTTAACCAAACAGATTAACTTCAAATATGTTGCAATAACTTTGTATCTGTTTATACTTCCAGAAAGGCACGTCCTCCTTTTGCAATCTGGAACTCCATCAATCATTTTAACATCACATAAAACACGCTAAAATACATTGATGTAATGTTACACCACACACAAGACCAGTGCAAATTCTCCTTATAATGTCTCTGAAATTATGTAATTGAGTCTGAAATAGACCAGCTTGAAATACAGAAGTTGTCAGTCAGTGCTGTAAGTAATGAATGAATGAAATGCCTACATGTCCAACAGTGGAGGAAAATACTTTTCTCCCTTTGTCTTTGTGCTGGTTGTGAATGCGTTCTGTTTAACTCAAATGAACCTGCTGGCTTTGGCTGGCTTTTCTGAGCCTTGATAAACATTTAATTCAATTACCTCAACAAGGTAATTCAATTGAAAGACTATTTTTTCAGTCTTACAGTATTGCAATCATATTCTTCATACTGATTAACAAAGTATAACAGGTTTATTATACCTGAAAAATAAGATTAATACTTGTTAGATTACCAACAGCCGGCAGTAATCATTGTACAGCATAACTACATTAAAATGCCTTGAGGCTTCTAGTAATAGTTCAGTTATTTCGGTGCATTTATCTTAAAGTATTTCTGCTTCTCTCTGTGAGAAATGAGAGGATGAATGGATCCACAAGTCCAGGTCCCGTAGCATGCTGAAAGCCTTCGGCGCCTTCCCCCACTCACAGAACCACTTTGTTCATTCCTCCAACGTGGACCCTTTTCTTTTTAAACCTATAATTCTTTAAATTAAACTACATAAGAGTGTCCTTCACTTGCGTCCGCCATCACAGAATCCACTTGGAGTTGCCCAGTTTCTTTGGATCCCTGCTGGGCATGCACCAGTCGTCCGCCTCTATGCTCGTCTGGTAATGCCGCAAGGCTGACTTGTTGAAAACAGGAAGCCTCTCCACTGATTCGGAGGACAGAGCCTGTGACGCAGAACAGAGGGACAACGTATTAGTCCGCGTCCTTATCACGCGGGCATGTCCCCGTGAATGAGAGTCGGATCCAGGTCGTTTCTCACCGGCCTTTCCTACAAAGTTCATTCTGTGCTCCATTTACCGGCTTAACGAGAGACAGCAAAGGTCTCCTGACATGGAACATGTCTCGACTTGCAAATCACAAGCGACATAAATCAGTCGTGCAATGACCTTTTTTAAATAGTTACTTTATAGGGGTGGGATATATATCTCTTGGTACCTCACAATTCGATTCCGATTCAGAGGTCAACGATTCGATTCTAAACCGATTATCGATTCTAAACTGATAAAACTATTATCGATGCATCTCGATTTTCTAAATTTTCTCAAATCTGAGTTTGCTACTCAGAGGTTGCTAATCACTTCCTACATTATTTGATAATTAAAGAAAATCAACAGATGAATTACCTTCTCTAATTTTTTAGAAGAGAAAAAAAATCTTTGTCACAAATATGATTTTCTATCAACAATGCAAGAACCAATGCAGCTTGCATTTCAACACAATATGGAAGTAGCCTATGTAAAAAAAATATTAAACAGATTCATTTTTCTTCTAAATGAGGAAAAAGCTTCTCTTAGTCTCAGACCGGTCCGTATTTGTAAAATTCCGGAAAAAAGTCAAAATCTGTAAATATCTTGCCAACTTTCAATACGGATCGACTTTTTGGAAAATCGAAATAATGAGGTAAGATATGCGCAGGCTCCTTCATAGTTCGGTAAAGTTGGCAAGATATTCGGTTTCAGACTGACGGACCGGTCTGCGAGCTGGACGCATTGCTCTTAATGTGCCGGTAATGATGGTAAATGATGGTTGTAGCTGGTTGTCATCTACGGTCCACTACGATTACCGAAGGGGGGCGTTTGTTTTTTGACAACGTTTTATCTCATAATTTTATCCCCTTACATTAGTGCGGAAATGGGCTTCTATAGTGGTGTGAATGCATCACTCCAGCCAATCCAAAGACGAGGTTTGTAACCAATCAGGTGTAGAGACCACGGTGACTGGCTCCGCCCCCTTACTGTCAGAAAGAAAAACAGCGAGCGCGTAGAAAACACCTTCGAGCGCGAGCAGAGACTAACCTCGCGAGCGAGGAATTTCACGCTCCGCGAGCGAGCAAATAGCTCGCGCGAGACACTTTTTTTTATTACGATTATTAACTTTTCTGAATCGAGACCGAATCGTTCTAGAGAAAATCGAGAGAAATCGAAAAATCGAACTTCCCCCACCCCTATTACTTTATATTATCCACAAACTTAAGTGACTCCAGTAAGTGTAGTTGAAAGTACATGAACTAACTGAACCAACTTGGCTTTGACTGTTATTTTTATTGGCGTTCCCACCTTCAGGTATATGACAGCCGAGGTGCCGTAGCCCTCCATGGAGTAGAGCTGCAGGTCTCCCTGGAAGTACTTGGCATACAGTCGAGAGATGGGCAGGCCGTAGCCAAAGCCAGCCTGATGGAGCGATAACACGGTCACGTTTAGAAACATAGCGTGGACACCGGAGAGGGGTTAGTGTTGCAAACAGGTCGACAGTTTATCTAATGGTTAAAGTTTAATCTTGACTGCGATCCTCTTTGCGATAAGCCAATTTGCAACGTGCTCCGTTGTTTGAATCTCTGATTAGGGAGATTTACCACCTGGTTGACTTTTACTCCCAGTTTAAGAAGCAAAAGCGTGTTTGTAGTACTGTAGCATGCTGCATACTGACGGAGACAGCTGCAGCCTCACCAGTGGTGCATTGCGGGAGTTGTCCATGTGGACTGGACTCGGAGCCGTCGAGTACATGTAGCTGAACAGACGCTCGATCTTCCTCAGCGGGACTCCGCCTCCTCTGTCGGACATCTTAAGATAAAGGAGCAGTGTGTTAGATACACAAGGGGTGTTCTTCCTTCTCTGGCAACTATGCAGTACAGGGGCTTGTAGTGAAAAGCTCAACAACACTTGTTTGATAGCATAACCCTGTCTCTTTCTCCCTGTGTTATTCCCTCTGCTGCATTGACAGATCTTAGTACTAAAGTCGTGGTCAGTCTCGAATCCTCTACCTTGATGGTGAGGTCCTCCGTTCCCAGTGAGACTCGCACTTTGATGGGGGGCAACGCGGGGCTCGTCTCGTGCGTCTCTACTGTTGCTCTCATGGCGTTCTAACAGAGAAAAAGGAGGATGGGGAAGGGATGTAAACAGGCACGCAGTGAGGAACAACATGCGTCTGGTCTTCAGGCTTGTTTGGTACTCTACCTTGAAAAGCTCAAACAGCATATGGTACAGGTGAGACGGCACATAGACTATGTGCAGGGGTTGGTCAGGGTTTTTGGCTGTGAAAACAATAGATAATAATAAGCCACGAAATGAAGCTTTATTCACGTTATTATCCGAGCCACTGATGTGTGAGCTTCATGTATCAGAAGCATGATACAATCAAATCTATTTCTGTTCAGTTTGTTCATCTGTCGATTACTCTTCAAAGTGAGGCACGTCCACATTAGCTCTTGGCGGACCCGGCCGGCGGGACACAGACACAAAGGACTTCACTCGGACCAACAAAGATTGATTCCTACAGCGGAACGTTCAGTTCGATTTCAGGGGCACAACGATGGTCACACAGACCGCTACGGCCCAAACTATCCAGGCGAAACAACCGGGAGACAGAATAGGCAATAACTTTAAACAAACTAAGGAAATATAGACAACCACTTTTGTGATTGGTTGGCAAGACTTACAATTGACTTCTATGATCTCCATATCCGGAGAGGTCAGGTAATATTGCTCACAAAGCATCTTCGAAGTATCATAGGCATCTAGAAAGTGACACAAAAACCAAAATAAATCATCTGCGGTTGATTGCTGTGTACGGACTCTAAAAAAAAAAAATCCAATGATAAAAAGGTCAAACAGTCATGAGTCCTTAAGATTAGATGCAATAAGATGGGAATCCTTCATTACCTTTTATTACCTCCACCACGGCACAGCTGGGGTCGATGCTGCCGATATGTTTAGGGTGGGCTGGGTTCACACTGCCGTCAAAGATCAAGGCTACGGTGCAAAACGGAACAGAAGTGTGTGACGGACACAATTCACTGTGGTGACGCAGTCACACACACACACGCTGTTGTATCACTCGGCGACAGAAAACTCCAGACGAGCGATTGTTGAAGGTTGCCCGTCTTTTCCGCTGCTTTAAATGTGACAGGTGAGATCGGGCAATGAGCTGTGCATTTGAAACCGCCGTTAAACGTTACGAGCGCTTCATGGATAAGCTGAGAGGACAGGAGGAGCTCCGAGTGTGAGCGACTGTGCAGATCAACTCACAGTCAACGACAGAGTGCTATACTGACTGTGCTGGTTCATGAGCATGCGCGTGGAGATCCGGCTCATGTAGAAGCGGTCCAGGAAGTACTGGACGTTCTGGTTGGTGACGGGGTCCACGCCGAAGGCGTCCTTGTACTCCACCACCCCCTGGGCCAAGGTGGGCACCACGTTGTTGTGCCGGTTGCGGACGTTGACCAGAGTCTGTGTGAAGCTGAGGGCAAAGACACGATGGCCGCTTGAGCGTTTCAGGGTCCATTAGTACAAATCAGGGCTGAGATTTGAGTGGGGAAAAAAAAATAGCAACACTATCTTCCTACAAACGTGCCGTAGCTACTCCCAAAGCACTGGTAAACTAGCGTCCCCAGTGGGTGCTATGGTAACGTATTAAACAACACTACAAAGAAACAAACATTCAAAAATCAGCTACATTTGTTTTTAACAAGATGATACGTGATTTTTTAAAAAGGGTTTACACCAAAGATGAAATATAGAGATACGTGTTCAACAAGCTAAATTGCTCCAGATCAAATAACTGATTGCTGGTTGCTGAATTACATGAACGGTTCCACTTGAATTTGCAACATGTTGGGTTTTTGCAAAGCAGTGGAACTGAATCCAAAACTAATCTTCAAGTACGACGCTGGCCTTCAGGAGCGCTTCAATAACGTACAAGAACATCAATCAAACTGTCAACTGAGCTCAACCTTGCAACACGATATTAAGAATGAGCAGTTACGTAATTACAGAGTTATTGGATGGGTGCTACAGTTGATGAAGAACATTACAAACTGAATTGGTGACCAGCAGACAGGGACGTTCATATTCTCTGTATGACATTGACCGCATTAATGTGAAAAAAACGGCCTTCTGCAATGTAAAGATACAGTGGAGTAATGTGTGTCCGCTTGAGCAGAGAATGGAGTTGTTTTTTCCTTCCTGTGTGTGTTGTAATCTGCTTCTCTGCACTTTTTTGGTGCGTTCGAGTGAGCCCCACTGCTCTGAAGTATAAACTGTTTACAGAAGCAAAAGGTATGCACTAGAAAGCTCCTTTAAACGACTTACTTTGTCAGGACATCCTTATCATCTGGATCCTTCTCTAAGAAATCTACTATCTCCATCAAACTCTGGGAATACCTGTTGGACACAAAATAATGGATTTAACAAAACAAATACAGAATTTACTGTAATTCACGGGTACATTCATGTAAAAGCTTTAAACAACGAGTCAGCAGGCAGTGAGCCTCAGTTATACAACACATGATCAAACGTATCTTAACCGCTGTGTAATTAGTATTTCCACATGACTACAATAACATTGTCCCTTCCGGACAATAGTAGCTCGCTTTATCGCAGGCTATATCAGGAGGCCGGTGGACCCGGAGTGCCGAGCTCAGTGAGTTCGCACTCCCAAGTCGAGAAACTGGGTGAAAGGTGAACAGCAGTGTGGTTGGCTCCAATTTCCACACGGCCAGTTTGTCCTTTAACCGACCTCCAGCTCTCACACTTTGAGCCGCTGTGCAGCAGACAAACGAGGAAGCCAGAGTGTCGGAGGCACGTGGCCCAATGCAGACATCACTGAGGCTATTGTGTGGAGGCCGGAGGTTGGGTAACTGTTATAGTCTTCCTGCACGTGCACTTTTCACGCCGTGAGATATGTGTGTGTGCACACGGATTGACACATGCTGAGGTTGGTGACCACAAACAAAGGCTGTCGTATGCATGCGTCTCTTGAAAACTCTGCGCCCCATCTTTATGATACAACTTGTATTTGGAGGCGTGTGTACACAACGTACTGACGCGACAGCTGGTGCATTGGTCTATCTTTTTAAATATACGTCCCAGCGGGTGCACAGACAACGGCGTGCGGACCGAGGGGGAAACGCGCCGAAGCAGCGTCAGCAACGTTTCCATAGATTGATAGCGTGTGACTCGATCAATACGGAGGACAAATTGCACGAATGTTTTGCGTTTTAGAGTTAAAACGATAATGCCGAAACACAAACAAATATATACTTCGACACATAATGAGAAGAGGACTTCGATAACCCAGATGCCGCTGAGACACAATAGGACTCTCGTGCCACAGGTCCTCTCAATTGTCCTTTTTGTAATGCAGAGATGTGCAGGAAGACGCATCTGCTAAACACGAGACTGTTTGGTTATAACAACAGTCTGACAATCAGATGCGGTGTAGAGATCCCACCAGCTGATGAGGAGCTTCAGGGACGGAGTGCCGAGCAGCTTGTCAGGGAGGAAATCGATCTCCTTCATGATGTTGGCCAGTCTCACAGGAAGCTCCTGCCGAAGGAACACAAAGGAGGTCTTCTCACATGCATCGGCCGAGCCTGCGGTCACATGAGGGGACAGAGACGACGAGTGAAAAAAAACAAACAAACATCCAACTGACCAAGACAATGAGACAATAACCCAGCAGCCTGCTAAGAAACATCTCAAGGAAATCTCTCCGGGGTTTCTTCTGAGGACTCCATCTGATCTTGGGATGAGGGACCTAATGAATGTGTGTGTGAATGAAAACATTCTGCAATCTGCACGTCTATTTGTTTTTCTTCTACAAAGTCCATCTGACTGCACGTGCGCCTGACTGGGAGCGGCGCAGCCGGCCCGTGAGAGCTATACGATTATATAACGTGCAAACAGCGCGCGGCCGAATCGATACTCCTCGAAAACACACTCACCGAAGTCAATGAATTGCTTCATAGACAAGGGAGAGGGGGAGAACTTGGCGAACCTCTCCACTTGTCTCGGTATCCCCGAGACGGAGCTGCTCTTCAGCAGGAACTGAGCAAACTTCATCGTCCCCACGTCCTTCGCAGACTCCGACCGTCGGTGTTTTTAAGCGGACAAACTGTTCTTTCTTCCTCCGGTCGGCTCCAGTTTGGCGACCGTTAGCTAGCACGTATTAGCTGCCCGCTCGGCCTCGCGCACAGACAGACGTCGTTAAATCAACATGGTGGAAGGTGCTGGTTGTGAGTTCTCCATCGTTGTTGTTGTTTATTTGTTTGTTTGTTTTTCTCTCTCGAGCGGCTTCCTTGTCTCCCGACAAGTCGATCTTCTGCCCTTCAAATGCAACTTTCGTACGCTGAGCGGTGTGCGTTATTGCTGGGCGGGGCGTAGCTTGAGTGACGTCGGAGCGGACCAATAGGCGCCGGAGGACGGGGTGAAGTGGAGGTTGACAACACGACGTAATAGAAAATCAGTGCGTGGACACGTGAACAGCAACGTATTTTTGTTTTATTGATTGGTTTAAAATCATTTTACTATGGAGGCCCATTTCTGCCAGTTCAAAAACATACACATGACAAATAGAGTCATACTACTGAGGTAGAAATTCATAATTATGAGAGTTATTGAATACTTATCAAATAGATACAATCAAATTGTAAGATACATGAACACACGCATTTAGGATATGTTACCTACAACAGAGAAATGGCTTTACAACAGTGAAATACTAGGATTGCTTTTTTAGTTCACCCACAAGGATTTTAAACCAGGCATAGGACAAATAAAACCAAGGTGGCTGATGTGGCGACCTTCATTGAACAACAACTGGAAACACCCGGTCAATATCACAGTCATAGTATTTTTTTAATAGTGGAAATGGGCTTCCATATTCGATATCCAGTCATGTCAAATCAACAGGCAAAAAAACAATGCTATGCGATGCAGGTGGAAATGGCAGAAATGCTTTTGAGATAAAGGAAAGTGAAGTTAATGGGTTAATATCCAGAGGCCATTTAATACACATTCTGCCAAGGGTGTTTAAACAAACTGTTCTATTTACTCAACTCAAAAAGTTGAGTAAATAGATTATGCAAAGGCAGAAATCATAGGATTGCGTCAGTACTGCCCCACAGTTCCATCTTTTCCCATTGCTCTCTGGCTATTCCCCTTCCTTTGCAAAGACCTCAACATACAGATAGAAGGATAAGTCAGACCAGCTTTCAGTACACACTAAAAACTGCTGGGTTATTTCATCTACCCAAACGCTGAGTTATGACATGTATTACCCATTATGGGTTATTTATAGGGGATTTGGGTTATTTTTGTGCAACTCATGCGCTGAGTCAAAATTCATCAACCCAACATACATCGGTTGACCCAGCTGGGTTGTTTCGAACTCTATAAGTCTCTGTTGGAACTCCTGACATCACTTCAACGCTCCTTCACACACACCAGGGCTCTATGCACCCAGCCAACGTCTGACTGATCATCGTTCTGGCGAGGCAAATCAATAATAAAAGTGTTATGGCCATTTAGCCGTAAGGAAACGAGAAGAAGAAGAAGAAGAAGAAGATGAAGAAGAAGAAGCGGTATTAGAAGAAGAAGCCGTATTAGAAGAAGAAGAATAAGAAGCCGTATTAGAAGTAGAAGAAGAAGAAGACAAGAAGAAGAAGAAGAAGAAGAAGAAGAAGAAGAAGGACGTCGTCGTACCGGAAGTGACGTCCTGTCGACGTTCCACACGACGTAACGTTACCACATGCTGCTTCGGTGTTTACCTAAAATAATAAATAATCTTGAACCCGTAGAGCGTCGAACTAACGCTACGAGTCTGTTACTAGTGTGTACATTTAAATAAGGATCTCTTTGACGGCCGTCAGACACGTGTTCGTTTGTTTGGGCTAAATCCCACGCGCTCCTCCCAACGGCCGCAAGATGGCGACGTTACAGAAGCAACGGGACGATGACAGTGCGTATGTCCAAGGAGGTGGGATTTCCTCCTCCTGCTCCTCCTGGGGATGTGTCGGCGCGCGGTGCACCTGCGTTATCTGCTGTATGGGTCATCATCCGCGAAGATGCTGCGCACGGACCGGCGCCACCAATAGTCGCCTCGATCAGGTTTGAACGACCGACCCGAGGCCTCGACTCGCTGTGACTTTAACGTTCGGCAGACAATGTGCTGATTTCCTTTCTTTCCTTCGGGGTGCAGCAGTGAGACAGTATCTTTGCCGGGTGACACATCATTTATCTGCACGAGTGGACAAGGTACGAGTGTTTTACAGCAACGCCACGTCAAACGGTCATTTGCGAGAGAATTGTCCCCTTTTCGTTAAATATTCGCTGTCAATCTACTGTATTAAGGCCTTAAACGCGTCACACAGCATTTAAATGCGCTTTAATTTTTAAAATAACGCTAACTAACGTTAGCTGCGGGCGCATAACCCCCTATCAATGTTAGTAACGCAGTTAAAAATCCCTTCTCGACACATTTAATGTGTGATTTTATATTTATAGTTGTGGTTAGTGTGGTTTGTCTTTGTCATGGTTGCACCGTTTAGTTTCTGGTTTTCCAATAGCTTCAGCAGACGTTATTAAACAACCAGGGTCAAGTGGCATCTACAGACCGAAAACTACATTTAGACTGTAAGACTGCCAAGTAAGGCTACATTTAGACTGCAAGACTGCTCAACATAAGTGTACACTTGGGATGTTAAGGACAAAACTACATACCAAACTTGAACTGTAGAAGGTAGATTTTGTACCATCCCTATTAACCACAGATGTATTGTATTTAAAATCTAATATTTTGTATTGAGATCACTCTTCAGAACTGTACTACAGTCACACAGGTGTGGAAATCCCCCCATGGCCCGGTGTGGTGTAGTGCTGACAATTGTCAGGCCAGCAAGGCTACGCAGCCGCTGCAGGCGGCCGTATGACTGCCACACCCAGCGGGTTTCTGGATCATTGCTCGGGTTCCCGCGATAAAGCTATTCTCCATTATCCTGCATCGTGGTATGACAAAACCTGAGCACATTGTCACTCTCGCTTGAAGGACACCATGTCGGACAAAAGTGACTTAAAGGCGGAGCTGGAGCGCAAGAAGCAGCGCCTCGCCCAAATCAGACAGGAAAAAAAGATAAAGGAGGAGGAGAGGAAGAAGAAAGAGGTAAGGAAAAAAGTGAGTAAATTCACACAACCGGCACTCGCGCTGTATGGCTCTCTTGTGCGTATTTTTTGTGTGTTTGATTGCTTTTTGTCAGGCCGTGACACATAAAAAGGCTGAGGTTGTGTGTGTGTGTCCATACCCGCATACCTGTCACCGCCCATGTCATGGCGAGTGAGCTGATGTATCTCTTTGTGACCTGAAACAGTCGGAGAGCCAGCAGAAGAGAGAGGCCACCCCGGAGGATTCCGACTTGGACCGAAAGCGCCGGGAGACCGAGGCCCTGCTCCAGAGCATCGGCATCTCACCGGAGCCTCCGCTAGGTGCGTAACCCTTTTACCCTCAAAGCCTCTTCCACTTTTTTCTTGTACTGCAAAAAGCATTCGTCGATTGTCACAATTGATTCTTCAAACATTACAGCCCCAAATCCCAGATGAACCCTTTAATGATTAGACTGGGCTCCTCGAGCAGACCAGCAACCAATCACATGTTTAATGAGCTGAAAATGATCAGTATAACTCCGCCTCGCTTGTTATTATCATTGTTGATTATGCTATATAGGTGTTGTATTACTAACTCTGTAACGCATTGCATTTCATGAGGTTTGATCAGATAACACTGTCGCTCATTCTAAATTGAATTGTAATATATTTGGTGTGCATTGTGATTAAACTGTGATGAACATGACTACTTTGACATGTCAGTTCTACAACTCTGTTTAACATCATTTTCTCTTCCACTATGTATGTCCAGTGTTTCGATAATTCTCCTCTGAAATGCAATTGAAAAATGAATTTATAAAAACCTGTTATGTGCAGATGAATCCTCCCTTTGCTTGTTCAGAAACCGGGTTGTTCAGTGTAGTTTGAATCCCCAGGGTGCTTTCAGCGGCTCTTTGGAAGCACTGTTCTCTAGTGGTCTAAAGTTGCACCAACACCCTCAGCACCTCAAAACGGGGTCACTGCTGTGCCTGTTAATAGCTTAAGTTATTTATAATGCATCTACAAAAGTAGTACAAATGTATGTCTCACAAATGCACAATGTGTTTGATGCCCTGCCTTTCCTCTCCTTTCTTTTTAACATTTGTTATATTTTTCATTCACTGGTTTTTACTTTGTTGCAAATCATCCAATTTCCTTTGAGCAGTCCATTCTTTGCAGCCTGTAATGTCAGATTCATGTTTTTTTCATTATTTAGTCCCGACCCCTGTGTCACCCTCCAAATCAGGGAGCACACCTAGTGAGGCGGGCAGCCAGGATTCCACTGATGGAGGAGGAGGAGCAGCAGCAGCAGCAGCAGCAGCAGCAGGCAGGTAGGCAGGCCGAAACCACACACGTCACGTTCCCCGGCCAGTGTCTTGAGAAGCCTCTCTTCACTACGACTCTCATTCAAGAAATGCTAAAGAGGTGAAAGACACATCGCACTGGGGAAAAAGAGCAGCCTGTGGCCTAAAAATAAATCATGACGTGCCGTTGCTTTGGGCTGTGGGTAGTTTTTGACACATATTGTGTTCTTTTCTTGTCAATGGCACGACAGGTTTAGGTGAGGATGGGCGGTGAGGTTGTGTCGCCCTGATGGGTTTTTCTGTGTCTTATCTGTCGCCCGTCATGCCGTCCGGTGTTTTGATGACCGCTGTGCAGGTTGTTGCTTCTCACAGCGCTTGAGTTTGATGTCGAGGTCAGTCTCGGCTGTGATCATTCCTACAGGGGGGGTCGTTACTTTGAGCCAGTAAAAGGAACACCCTCTGAACACGGAGCCCCACGACGATGAACCATAAGTCGGCTGTGAAGTAGCCGATTTGAGCAGACAAAATGTCGGCATTTCCCCCTTTTTCGTCACCGTCCTGTCAGTGCTGGCTCAGGTGTCAAAACTGCTGCTGCACCCGTAAACCCTCCACACCAGTAGAGCGACGAGTTACACTTAAGTCCCTGGTGAAGAAGAGCGTGGTCGTCTGGTGCTTTCCATTTGCTTCTTATGGCAGCTGATGGTCAGTGTGTGAGTGATGCCCTCAGGGGTGATATGTTATGCTGGAATGACTGGGGTGGACTTGGGGATTAAAAAAAACATAAAGTTCCTAGCAGTAATAAATTTACCCCTTTTTATTTATTTATTTATTTTTTGGTTTCTTTTTAGCTTTTACAAATTGGATTTTACAAATAGGTGAGTTAGTTCTACTGCGTCGAATGAATGTCCCGCACCCCTCCCCCCCACCCTCGCCCCAAATCCACCCTGGATGATGGCATGCCATTTTTGAGCTTTCTCCATTTGTGGCTGTGTATGTGTCTGTCCCTTCGTAGGTCAGGTTTCTCTAAAAACAAGTCCCAAGCACAGAGCTCAAGGTAAGGATTTCAAACCCAGGAACGCCCCTCCACCCTCCCCTCGGCCCCTTCCTTTCTTTAGCTGAATTTACCCTCACGTGAACACAGAGAGACAGCGACAGCATTGTAAGTGGTCTCAGGGATGTCTTCCCATCACAATTATTTTTTTTAAGCCCCTGACAGCACAGCGCCACCCTGTTCCCCTCGTGGCTCGATCCTCCCCCCGGTGACTCCCCGACTGTCGCCCTTAAATGTCAGCTCGGAGGATTTTCTGTTTGCATGAGCTGAGCCACCAAAGTCATTTCAGCCTTCACAGAGTTGACAATCTGCTGCTTAAAGTGTCATTGCTGTTACTACAAAACAGCCGGTCTGTCAGTGCGAAGCGAAGCCTTGCCACTCTCCCCTGGCGCCGCGTGGCATGAGCTGAGGGCCTGACGGGCACGTTCACTGGCCCTAAAAGCCATCATCAGAAAGTGTCCTGATGTCAGAAGCGTTCTCCTTTCACAGTTTGCAGACTTGATCCGTCCTTATCGGTTTCAGTTGTTGCTTGATTTCCCTTCTACTTATTTTTGCCTCCCCCAACAATTATGCAGACGCACTGAATTAGCTCAGCTGTTCCCCCAGTGTTTGGTAAGCTCACCAACGATACATCGCAAGTGTATTGTCACGTCTATTGAGCAGGCGAGATCTCAATAAATGCATGTTTGTTGTGCTGTTGTTTGCGAGGTGTAAATCATGTTGCTGGATAGGTCGTTCATGGCTTTCATGCATCATGTGACACAAGTTTGCACAATATAAAACATCAAGGCACAGACGAGTGTGGATTCATATCATGCAATTTAGTGGATGCCGTAAGGGATTAAAAAATTCCAACAAACAATTCTGCTGAGCTTTCCTGCATTTAAATGCCAGCAGGTTAGATGGTTTTCCCACGGGTAAAACAATGCATCATACTGCCGTTCCTCATGTTCTGTCCATAAATGTTTCAGCAGAGCCCAAGGAACCAATTGGTAGAGACGAGATCATTAAATAAATAGGGTACATCAAATCATCATAACACATCATGTCTCCCTGATTGGCCCTTACACGTGGGGGGATTAAGACGGCCAACTTTGCATGAAATTTGATGGGAATCCCCACGTTAAGCTGTTCCCTAGATGAGTGTGTCTGCATACTTGCGGTAACGTGTGTCTGTGCGCCGATGTCTGTGTGTTTGTTATAACGTTTGTAAACATGCATGTCCTCTTGCTCCCCCTGTTGGTGACATCAGGACGCTGCAGTGGGACGCAGACCCCTCTGTGCTGCAGCTGCAAGCTGATTCTGAGCTCGGGTACATCTTCCTTCTCTCTTCCAGTTTGCTGTCTGACAAAAATGAATACTGCAGTACATCTTAGTTGGCACTGCATGGCACTGCATGGCACGTCATAACCAAAACGCACATTTGATCTTCCATTTAAAGGGTAAACCACTCCAATGATGCGGCCTTGTGGAGGTTGAGATAGTGGTTGCATGTTATTTGTTGCTTTACACCTTAGAATGAATGTCAATTGCACGTGGCACAGATCCAAGTCCGTGCGCGATGTGGCCGTGGTAACGGGAAAATGTTGTCTCCGGTACCCAGGCGCAGGATGCAGAGGCTGGGAGCCTGTAAGATCACACAGGTAGACTTCCTTCCCAAGGAGGTGGTGGCTTACTGCAAGGAGACACAGACGCCGCTCACCGCCCACCTGTCTGAAGGTGAGTATTTGTGCGTGTGTGTGAGTGACTTCTCTTGACACTCTGTGTCACACTGTAGGATTTAAGCTGTTTTAGGTTCACACAAAGCAACAGAAGGTGTCATGTTGCAATGATTGTCGTTGTTGTGTGGTTGAATTTGATGCTCCTTCATTTAGCCAGTTCACAGCCTGTAAACCCGGAGTAATTTAAAGACTGACAGATGAACGTCACCAGAGAAGATTCCTGCCTGCCTTGCTGTGTGTGTGTGTTTGTGAGTGTTCTATACACACACATATGTACATTTCTTTTACATATTTGTTATGGACAGCTTTGTATTCTTGACAAGAAAGAGCTGTCATTCACTCCATCGTTATTTCTGTCTGGGCACAAAATGGTAACAAAAAAATAAATAAAAGTGTGTCCTTGCGTGTGTTAGAGTGAGTTTGCATGCAGGGTTGAGTGTGCATACATGGAAATGTGTGCGTGCATATTTGTGTTTCCTCGCGCGTGTGCGCCGAGCAGGAGTTACTAAACACATCCATATGGTGAAGGCGGAGGTTGGTCCCACAGGGGACTTGGCATGATGTTGGTGGTTGTAAATTCAAGGCATATCGATTATAACATCCAGAGTGGTTTCCCACTGGAGCAGAAGAGCGGGGGGGATTTGGACGGATTACAGTCGCAGTTGAGTTTAGCTTCAAGCCTTCGTCTTTCCTCCAAATGCAGATCTTCCATTTATCGCGACGTGTAGGAATGCACAAACAAATACTGCACCTACACACTTTGACTCCAAACCTACTGTCAGACATGTATGGAATAAACACACACACACACACACACACTCTATCGTCTTCTCTATCTTCCCTCTTTTTGTTTGCAAGACAGCTGGCAGCCATGTGACTGTGAAGGGGTTGTACTTCCTGCTTCCTGTCATTATAATAGATGGTCTGGTGTGGATTCCACGGCCCTCCTCCACCAGCAGACCGCCACACACACACACACACACACACACACTCGTCTGTTCTGATCAGCATCTACGGCACGCCTCAACTCCCCCCATTTCCTCGACGGACCCAGGAATAGATTCATTTATTCAACAAGTGCACATAGGCTCTGACTTACTGGCAGACACGCACACATACAAACACACACATCACAATCACACAAAGTTTGCTCGTACAAGAAGTCTTGTTGTCGAAGGCAGTTTACCTACAGTAAATAGATAGACACAAGTGAAACACACACACACAATACAGCTTTTGTAAACTGTACAAGACAATTTGGTAAAAAATATGAACTTGTAACGAAATAGGCTGTAATTAGTCTGCATACAGGATACAAAAAAAGTTTTTTTTTCTTGGGCTTTCAACCGGATTTTCTGGAGGTCCCTGAATGTGTGTACGAGTGTGCACGCTTGTGTTTCTGAACATCTGGAAGCCAGAGCCGAGCTGTGGAAGTCTACAGGGAGGTGACCTTGGACTGAGGAGACCCCTTTGTAAACTGCCACAAAGCTGGTGTGTGGGGAAAGAGGAAAGGTGGCTGATGGGAGCACCTGCCCGCACTTCTGGCTCCATGTTTGTTCAGGCCGGCTCCTTTTGTTGATTACTGAGGCGCACACACACACACACACAGCACACTCACAGGTTTGTGGCTACAGGTTGTGTGCACCGTTTGCACATTTATACTGTGCAATGATGTCTGCATTTGGACCCTCTCTCTGTGCTCAGACCAGATTCACTATCGTTTATGTTCGTCTATTCTTAATTTTTGAGGAAAAAAATCCTTCTGCCTGTAAGCTATTTATCACTGTTGGGTACTTAAACTCTTGGATGCTTATCCGTAGTGAATATTTTAGAGGATGCAAAACGATTCGTATTCAATAAGATGCTATTGAATTGATCTTTAGAATTAAATTTGACAATTTCTCAGAGCTTCAAAAACAGGTGTGTGTTCTATATATGTGTGTGTGTGTGTGTGTGTCAAACTCAAACTCGGCTCTTTATATTGATACCATATTTAACTTTACTTTGAAATGATTGATCCTATCAGCCCAATCCCCAATTCACCGTTTTATAGTTTGTCTAGTTACAGAGTGCCGCCCTCTTTTCTTTTAGACATTCTTGGTCTCTCTCATCCTTCCTCTCTGCCCTCGGAGGTCTGATCTGGAACTCTTTTACCTCTGTGTTGTACTAAACATATATTACATTTAGAGAGAGCCAGCTGGCTACTGTGGGGGAATGAAACGGAAGAGTAAATCTGTCCTAATTATGGTGGTGTGTCTCACGGCTGTATGAATCTCTTTGAGTCGACCTCTAGTTGTTGCATCTCATCTGCTTTTCTGATCTGTGTGTGTGTTAAATAGTGATAGGATGTGCTATTTAAAGATGATTTTAACTGTGATTTAGCATGTGCCAGGATTATCACTGCGGGACTGAAGTGGGTCGTGAAAGAGAAATGATAGAAATAATGTACCTATCTATCTACGATGGATCATTTCAAAGGCGCATGTGACGTTCATCGTCATTGCCATCAAATGTTATTCGGGCCTGAATATACTGGATGGGTGTGGATGTTTGGGGGCCCCACATTAAAACTGTAGTATTGACACGTGCGTGTGTGTGTGTTAAAGTGAGGGGAAGTGTAGTCGCATTGTGATCACTTTAAATTACTGACCGATGACTAGGAGGTTATATTCCCTCGTGAACTACTGACCTCTCCAGTTCTTCTATCTGCCCTCGTGCCCAAGGTGGCTGGTGAAGTGTGCGTGTGTGTGTGTAAGACACTTGTGTACGCTTTATCAAACTGCAGATTTGAAATGACTTTTCTTCGTGTTCATCTCAAGTTTTGTTTTTGTTTTCACGAGTTTGTGTTTTCAAAGGAGTTTGTGTGTGTGTGTGTGTGTGTGTGTGTGTGTGTGTGTGTGTGTGTGTGACTCTCATTTAAACCAGTTAATGATATGGCTTTTCATTTCCGTGTCCAACGGCCTTCCTAGAGTCCCGATGTGTATCTGTCTATGTGTGCTCCCTTTCCCATTGGCTGCCCACTCATCTGTCCGTCCTGAGCGTCCATTGTGAGGGGCAATCGGATTAGCCCCAGTCATGGTTGGCTCCAGCTATTTACTGCCGTCCTAATGGGCATGAATGGACAGGCTTGTCGTGAAGGACGGACGCTTTGTCTGAGTACATAGCAGGGAAATAAAGTAAGGGATAATGTGGTGTGTGATACTAACCTAACCAACTAAGGTCAAACACAGTGTGTGTGTTGGATAGCTGGCGTTTCATGCCTCCGTCTGGTGCCAAACAATGTGGACGTTGCATTTTCAAATATGTGACTGTGTGCTTTTTACCCAAAACAGAAAATAATAAATATCACTTGTGAAAATCTAGAGGGGCTAAGAACATTAAGATATAATCGCCATGTGTCTTATGTCTCATAGCTTATTTTGGGATCGAGACTATTTGTTTCAATGTTTTGCCAACTCGGACATTGATCATGAAAATTTGTCTCCCCGTTCCCATCAAGCTAGATTGACACGAAGAGCAAACCTGTCACAGCCTCTTTATAGACAGAAATGGGTTTACGGGGTTTGGGTTTATGGAATTAAAATGGGATTGGGCCCAGTCTTTGGGAAGGATCACAACTTAACTCTGCACAAGTCTTAAATAAGACTTAAATAAAATGTTCTACTTAAATTGCAAAATGTAACGCACATAATCATCAGTGTGGAACACAGACACTGTTGAAGAATTTCAGCAGTTTCATTGAGACCGGGAACACTTTCTCATGACTATTATTTAACCACAGCGCTTGAAATGTTCCACCTCCATTTCACTCAGATCTGACAATATCGCGAGGAGCCAAGTTTTTAAACTGCGCGGGAGGAGGCGGTGATATTTTACACCTCATCAAGAAGTGGGCAACCTTGCTGCCTCTCTCTTTGCGTCCCCCCTCCGGGCTGACCAACCCCCTATTGGCCATTAACGGAGTCAATGTCTCAATACAAAACACTCTTTTACTTTCTACTGATCCCAATCGGAAGATGGCTATCAGTGTGGGTGTGTTTACTTGAGATGTTGGCAAGAGCTGCAGAGGTCACGGGGACGGCAGGTACTTGGCGCACGCGGTTGTGCACGTATGCACGTGTGCAGGTTGCCACTAGATCCGTAATGGGCCCAAGTGAAAATGGCAGCCAAAGAGGATAAGAAGGAAATCAAAATCTGTGTTCACCGGGGAATAAACTGAGCGGCTCGAGGAGCAAAGGGAGAGAAACAAAGCGGAAGCAGCAGTTGTGGAATCACAGGCGTGAGTACTTGCAGGGAACCACAAAGAGGCCTTCAGAGATCCAACTGTGTGTGTGTGTGTTTTGGTGTGATTGGATGCTGCAGAGGCAGACCGCCCCTTCTTATGGTTAAAGGTTCACGGGGTCAGGAGTGTGTATGTTAAAGTCTGCATCTGTATGCAAAAATGATGTGTGAATGGCTCCCTCTCTCCACCCCCCCCCCCCCCCCCTAGTATTTTCTGCACCATTAGTTTTCAGGGGCTGTATAGCTTGAGTATGTAGTTTGGCAGTAAATCACCTCCTAAGTATATTTACTGCCATAAGTGGCTTTCTTTTGACTTGTGGTGAACTGGTAATGGCCTCTAATTGCAAGAGAAAACCCATTTCTCAGCGCTAATCTGAAAAGACGCAGACATTTTCTTTTTTTTGTGAGTCTACAGCCTCATAAATATAAACACACATGTGCAGAGCACCAAACATGGGGGAGAAACAAGCATGCATGGACCAGAGGTTTATACAGGAGCATCTTGGGCACATCGACAAACACACACAAACGTCACATAAACTCTAAATAATCCCTTAATGGAGCGGTTAAGAAACCAAGCGACAAATTTATGTAACCATTGTGACCATCGGCTACACATTGCTCTAATTACAATGTTTACTTTTCTGCATTTCTTTCACAAACTTCTAAATACATTATGTATGTATTATACATTACATTAACTAATTTGTCAACGGT